TAAAACCCAGTGTTTCTCAAACTTACTTGACCATGGAATTGCTTTCCCCAGACAATCCCATTGATACCCTGAGTCATGGGGCATCAGTTTGAGAAAGGCAGTATGTGGGTTCCGTCCTCTGGAGTTTCACAGAACAGCTCAGTCCCCCCACCTAACCTCCCCCAGGACAGGAGGGGAGGTCAGAATCACGTCCCCAAACCAGGCAAGTCTATCTGAATCCAAAGCTAGGTGGTTCAATGCCTGCCTCTCCTCAGTGGTTTCCAGGGTCCTCCACCCAGCAGCTTCTTCAAGGCTCAGCCATTTACCCAGACAGAATTAATTCGGTGACCTGGGGGCAGCTTTTTTGCCCAGGTGCCATCAAAGATGAGCCCCGAGCCACCTCTGCAGACCAAGCCCCAGCTATGGCTTGACTCTGTCCTAAAGACTAGGTCTGGACTTTCTGCTGTCAGTATTTATGCTTGTAATCACGTGCTTGTCCCAGGAATCTGTGTGGTACCAACTCAAGGCTGGGTTCTGGTGGAACTGGAATTGACTGTCCTTCACCCACATTTGCTTTTTTTTAAAATATTTTTTTATAGTGTGGAGGGCCTCACACTAGGCAAGTGCTGTACCACTGAGCCATACCAATAACCCCGTTCACTGCCTCAGAAGCCCAAGTCCTAGAAGCCAGAAGCACTGTGATCCCAAATATAGACACTGCCCTTGGAGGGAAAACTGATTTTCTGCCACTTAAGAGGCTTCTTTTATATCAGAAAGAGGCCATGGGGACCAAGGCTGTACCATCAGTGACCTACTAGAGACAGTCTCAGAGATGGAGAGGGCAGGAGGCCTGTGGTTACTCTAATGAAGGGACAGGGGGAGAAGGGCCATCCATATACGTCCAGAGACAGCTGGCAGCACTGAGATGCCCTCTCTGGGGTCAAGGTCAAGGGAATATCCTGAATTCCTTCTGCAGATGCTTCTAGAAAATTGGGTATCTGTGGTTCTGTGTGCTTCACACCAACCCAGCAGATGCCCCTGGAACTGGGTCTGGGGAAACAGCAATGAACCAAAGGCAGTCCAGCCTTGAAAGGTGCCAAGGACTGTGGGACATGGAGGGGGGCGGCGCTGGGCTTTGGGCACCAGGAGTAGGAAATGTGAATGTTGTCCTTCAGGAGTGAACCTCCATAGGGGACCTCAAGCAGTACAGGTAGATTTGTATTCTAGGAAGTTCTCTAGGGCCTGGGAAGGTCCATGGTGATGATTCCTGTGGGATTTAGATGTGAGGCTTCCTATGTCCTTTCTCTCTCCACATCAAGAAAAAGCTTTATTTAGCTGCAGGCTGCACCCTCACTACTTTTTTTTTTTTTTTTTGGCTTGCATTCTGGTTTTCAATGCATGCAGATGCGTGGGATAGGAGGTAGTTTGTGCTGCATTTGGGCTCATTCACCAGGACACCCAGGTGCGTACAGGGCCTAGAACAGTCTGCAGTGGCAGCCATACTGGATGCAGTGGCCAGAGGCCAGGGGGAAGGTGATCCTGGAGGCAGTAAGAGCAGGAAAGAGTTACAGAGACATGACAAGGCCAGCACACAGGGGGAAAGGGTAACCAGGAAGCTGGGTGAGCCCTTTGTGGGAGACTTCAGCACAGAGATGACACAGAGCTGGGGCTTCTGTCCTGAGCTGGGGCCTATTAACAGCTGCATGGCACGGGTGGAGTCTTCCCCTTGTTGGGCTTCAGTTTCTTCCTAGGTAAGATAGAGATGATAACACCTACCTTATAAAGTTGCAGTGAAGAAGACTGAGTGTGGGGGCCACAGAGTTCCCAGAAGAGATCCAGGTTGGCCACTGAGCCCCATGTATAAGAGGGCAGCCAAGCAGGTCGGACCTAGGCAAGATATCAATAGAACATGGCCCTGAGAGGCCTGGGAGTTGAGGATGGAGGAGGGGCAGGGGCAATTTAGTGGACTGCCAAGGGCAGGAGTTTTTAGCCATGTGGATCCAGGGGTCATGACAGCTGGGAGTCAGGCCAGCTGGGGCAGTGTCTAGTGACCTAGGTAATTAGGATAGGAACTATGCCTGTGACTGAGGCCAGGAGCCCCCAGGGCCTGGACTCCAAGACTTTGGAATGTCCCCACTCCCCTCTCCTGGGATCCCAGCTGCCCCTAGGCCATCATTCTGATACCTAAACTGTCAGTCAACCATGAGGCTAGGCCGGAAGCACTTAGACCCCAATTTTCAGAATTGCCCTGGTTTCCTGCTGTAAGCGAGGTCCTGGCTGCAAACCCTACCCAGAGTGGCCATTCATGTCGTCTGGAGAATTGGCAGATTGGCTCTCTCAGCTCAGGGCAGCCTGGAGGTCGAGTCAGGAAAACCAGAAGTTTGTTCTTAACCCAGCAGGCAGGTCAAGAACCATGCAGGGGAGACCAGCTCCCCCAGGGACAGGAAGGCTGTCTCAGAGGATGTTGACACTCACCCAGTGAAGAAGGCAGGGAAGGGCATTCCAAACAGAGGTAACAGCCAAGCAAGCCAAGGCATTAAGATGGGAAAAAGCCAGAGAGCTTGGGGACACAGAGGGACCAAATGTCAGTGGCTGTGCCTGACTGCAAAGGACTCCAATACTGAGCTAAAGGGTTCACCCACATATTGCTCAGTCAGTGCAACCAGAGAAAGTGGCAGGGACAAACCCATGTGAGGGTGAGAGAGGCCACAAGTGGGGTTTTGTTTGTTTGCTTGTTATTTATTTTGGAGCTTTTTAAGTTTAGGGTCTGGAGGTTGATTTTTTTCTTTTTTTTTTTGAGACAGGGTGTCACTATGTAGCCCAGACTGGCCTAAAACTCAAGATCCTCCTGCCTCAGCCTCCTGAGTGCTGGAATTATAGGCGTGTGCTACCAAGCCCAGCCATAGATGGAGGTTGATAAGAGATGCTGAGGCCTGAGCATCTCTGCCCCTCAGCCTCTGCAGGGTCCCTGTTGGCTGCCTTTGCTGGGCTGTTCTCTCTGCCTACCCTTCCCTCCCCTCTCCCACATACTCATACTTGTTAGATCCAAATCCGCAAGCCACTCCCCCTAATCTTTTCCAGTGCCCGCCACCAAAGCCAGACATGCCCTCTCCCAGCTCTGAACCTGGCAGGTCTACCTCCACTTTTGCTACTTGTATGACAGGTTAACATCTCTCATCTGAAAATGCTCAAGAACCTGAAACTTTTTGTTCAGCAAGGTGATACCACAAGTGAAAAATTCCACACCACGAAACCTTGTACACAGAATTATTACTATTGTATAAAATAATCTCCATGATCAGTGGATAAGGTACATATGGAACATAAATGAATTTTGTGTTTAGACTTGGGGGTCCATACCCAAGATTGCTCATTATGCAAATGCAAATATTGCAAAATCCAGAAAAATCCAAAATCTAAAACACTTCTGAATCCAAGGATTTCAGATAAGAGACCCTCATTCAATATTGTCATAGAAAAAATTCATTTTTGCTTCGTATACAATTTATGCACCTAGCCCCAAGGTAGTTTTATGAAATATTTTAAATGATTTTGTGCATGAAGCAAAGTTTCATGGCATGGAATTTTCTACTTGTAACATTGTGTCAATGCTTAAAAACGTTTCAGATTTTCGAACATTTTGGAGTTCAGATTATCAGATGAGGGCTGCTCAACCTGTATTCCAACCCCAGAAATCTGAAACACTTCTGGTCCCAAGCATTTCAGATAAGGGGTTCTAAACCTGAATAAGTGGTTGCACACATGTCGTCTTTCTTGTTATTTCACTGGTTTGACTCCACACGCATTTTCTGGGTACATGCTCCATACCAGGCCTCATCTGAGCACTGCTGAGACAGGGGATCAGACCCTTTTCCTGACTCTTCTGGAGATTTGTATAGACCACACATTAACTGTATGTCATGTCACATGCAACAGTTAGACTATCCATACTGGGGATGGAGACAGATGGCCCAACTCTGGAAAGTAGAGAAATGTAGAGGGCTTTGTGGAAGAGGAGGTGACTGAGCTGAAGATACATAAAGGGTGACTTGGGCAGGTTGACAGTATGTACAAAGACTTAGGAGTATGGAACTGCAGGCAATACTGCCTGGGTCTTGAGTGAAGTATACATAGGGGTGAGGGAACTAATGGGGAGGAGAATAGGAGCTGGAGAGACCAAACAGCCCTGATCCATAGAGTCTTACCTGTTGGATTCCTCTACAGCCCTACACTGGGGATGCTGGGTGAAGCTTTGTTGAGTGGGTAGGTGGGTGGATGTGTTGCTGGCCCTCTACAGACACCACAGAGGCCCTGGGGTTCCTGAGGTGCTCTCAGCACTGCCCTGGTGTTATTTGGCTTCTCTCAGCCTTTACTTTTGCCTACATAAACCACAGCCATACAGGACACTCAAGGAGCCTTCAAGACTTTCCCAGTCACAAGTGACAGCAACTCAGCTCCAGCTGGCTAGCAGAAAACAGTAGTAGGTGACAAACTGAAGTGTGCAGGGTAGGGGCAGCTTTGGGGCCTTCAGCCTGTCTTTCTCTCTGTCTCTGAGCTCTGCCTTCCTCTCTGTAGCTCTTTCTCAAGCCACCGAGTGGACCCAGGAGCTCTGGCTCAGCCCTATGGGAAAGGGGTGGATAAAAAGCCCTCTTTCCCCTAAAGACCACCACTGGAAGTCCCAGGCATGGCATTCATGACTCAGTGTGGGCCCCAGGCTCCTGTCTGAACCTGTCACCTTGGCCAAAGGAATGGGGACATATACCCACCTCCAGAATCCCTGCCCAAAATGGTGGGAACTGGTCTTTAAAGGAAAAAATGGGGTTCTTTTGTCAGAGGCGGGGATTCTAGGCAGCAGACAACATACAAATGCTGTTCCCCCTCCCCACCAAGTCCTCACTTGGCACCAGGCCTCTGGGCTCAGAGCACACTTTGTTTTCTTGTCACTGTATAGTGCATTGGGGTCATAACACAGAGGAAATGCCATTCCCAGTGTGTAACCTTTTCTCTCTTTCATTTTCCAGGGACCATTGGGTCTGGATGGCAAGCCTGTAAGTGACAAGGCAATTCTAGGTGGTCCTGGGATGGGGCACCTGAGGGAAAGGAACCCTGGGAACTTGGTTCAGCACAGAGAAGCTACTTGAATCCATTCATCTCCACCGTCAACTAACTGTGTGACATGGGGAGGCCCTTCACCTTCTTGTCTATCAAATGGGTACTTGTGAGATTATGAAGAACTGTGGACAGAACAGTTCCCCGAGTCTAGTCAGCCCTCAAAGTCTGCAAGCCCCTCCCAGAGGGCCCCAGATGCAGAATGTCTCTAATATATTCTCAAGACTTCCATCGTGGGCATCAGGATGAGAAGTTCTCAACACTTAGTCCAGGAACCTGTGGTTCACGAGTATCCTCAGTGGATGAACAAGATGCAGAAGGAGACATAAGCATGGTTCAACAAATAATTGGATGTGGATGGATGGGTAGACAGATGGACTGGTGGATGAGTAGGTGGACAGATGCGTGAATGGATTGTTAAGTGAGGTAACCATTATACAGAAAGTTGGATGCATGGAAGAATGGGTGTTCTGGTAGATGAGTAAGTGATTATGATTGAACATACATGTGAGTGAAAATAATGAATGACTTCACAAATCAAGTTATTAAAGAGAAGAGGAAAGAACTGACCACCTTCATAGACAACTTGAATGAGTGAATGAATGATTGAATCAGTTACATTTAAGAAGGGAGAGAGGCTGGTGAGCAGTTCAGTCTCTGGCAAAGGTATCAGCCCCAAGTGGGACTGTCCCAGGCTGGAGACTCTGAACTCCACAAACAATGGCTTTCTTCCATAGAAACCCTAGTAATATGGCAGGATTGAAAAAGACATTTCCCTACAGCCAGAGAGTGATAGAAGTGATAATGGCCACTGTGATCTATAAGGAGGTACCCCCACATTCACCAAAGATGAGATGGATGTATGGATGGATAGATGGATGGATGGATGGATGGATGGATGGGTGGGTGGACAGGTAGGTGGGTAGGTGAATGAATAAATGGGTGGTAGGTAAGTGGGTGGATAGATGGATGAATGGATGGATGGGATGGGTGGGTAGATGGCTCACTCATTCAAGGATGGGTTGATGGAGCCCAGACTCCAAGGGGCTTCCAGCCTTGAAGGAAAGTAGGTTTCTAGAGATAGGATCTCAGTCTACCTCACACCTTGCAGAATCCAGACAAATACATCAGGGCAGTGGCCTCCTTGCCAGTATCTTGGCCCCCAGACAGGTGCTGAGAGTAGAGATCTGTACCCACTAAGAGGAGTGGAGTGCATGTGTCCCTTTCCCTTCTGAGAGGAGGTCCATGAATCCTTGCTGGCAACCCCCAGGCCCTCTTCTCTCCTGTGCTGAGGACTAAGGTCTGGAGTTCTCATGAGGCCAGCAAAGCTGGTTCTCATTAAGGGCTGACAGGTTTGTGTATAGCTTTTCTCTCAGCAGCCCACAGCTTACCTAGCATCGCAGGCCCTTCTGCCCTCAACGCCTTGGGGGAGCTAGCCTAGCCCTCCTCCCTCACAACTGTTCTTTCTCCACTTCCTTCTCCAGGGACTTCCAGGCCCCAAGGGGGAAAAGGTGAGTGCTGCTACAGACTGTCCATATGCTGTGAACCGATGAAAGATGACAGAAACCTGCCTGCAAACCACAGTTCCACAGTATAACCTATAGCCTCAATTTCTCCATTTATAAAGTGGGATGAGGAACACCTAGCTCCTAAAGTGGTTACAAGGCTTTCATTTCATAAAAGAACATGCCCAGAGGATTGACTCTGAATTCTGACACCAGAGCATAACAAAACTCAAAGGCATAGTCTGCTAGAACAGTAAGTTTCCAACGTGAAAAGGGGTGCGGACTTGAACAGTGACTTTAATGACATACCCTCAGGAAAACAGGGGCAGAGCTATCTTTGCAGCCTCTTGTGTCCAAAAGGCTTCTCTGGCATTTGGCACTAAAAGTCACAAACAGTCCCTTGGAGGGTTGGGGCCACCATATGCCTTAAAAGGGAGCAGAAGAGACTTATGTGTCCCTTGGTGGTGAAATCAGAGGAAGGGGGTGTCCAGAGAAGGTGTAGCTGTGGCAGGGTTGAGGGCTCCAGAAAAGGGCTGGTCATGGTTGGACCATATCCACCCCTGACCTGAAATTTGGATGGCAAAGCAAGATGGCAGAAGTCACTGGGATGTGGCCACTTAGGGAAGGACAGGTCAGGGTTCCAGTCCACCATCAGAGCTGAGAAAGCCATGGAAAGAGACAAGATTTGGAGTTCAGAGGCTCAGGTTTGCATTCCAGCTTCACCACCAACTGTGTGGCTTCAGGCAAGTTGCCTGGCTCTGCGGGCCTCAGTTTCCCCATCTGTAAATTAAAAGTAACCTCACAGAGCCACACAGAAGACTGCATGAGGTCATGGTCTGGATGTTTTTTGTCAATGAGGAGACACTAGCACAGTTGGTAGGTGTCATGATTGTCTTCCTGATGGTTCTGGCTGATGCCACCAAGCTGTAGACATAATTCAAGCCAGGGGCTTTGAGACCAGAGAGGGACTAGTGTTTTGATATCTCTTACTGCGTAATTCACTGCCCCAAAACTTCACAGCTTGATACTACGATTCATCAGTATTACGCTTCACTGGTCCACGGCTAAGGATTCTGAAAGGATGCACTGCTTCACTGTCTAGGGCCTCAAATGGCCGGGCATCAGCCATAAATTAGGGAATGCATGGTCTCAGGTGCTAGGTCTGCAAACTGTGTGACCTTAGGCAGATTACTTGGCCTTTCTGAGATTCCAGCTTCCTCATTAGACATGGAAATAAAAATAGGGGGCTTGCTTGTTATTTTGTTAGAATTAAGTCAGACTATATATGTAAACCACAGAGCATAGAGTAAATGCTCAATGGGAAATGTGAACAAATAACGAAAGCTATGGTAATTCATTTCCCTGTGTTTGGTTCCCAGGGTGCACCAGGAGACTTTGGCCCCCGGGTAAGAATGGAGCACCGCCTCCCTCACCCATCCCACATGGTTTGTTTAACATTATTATAATAAGGCATATCTAGCATTTCTTCTGGGTTCCACCTCACCATAGCTAATCACAGAAAGGCAAGTGAGGCAGCCCTTGGTCCCTGCCCATGGCCATTACTGTGGAAACCCCCAGGCACCCACAGAATGAGACCCTATCTAAAAAATAAGTAAAGTAAAAAGGGCTGGTGGCGTGGCTTAGTGGTAGAGCACCCTGGTCTGGCTGAGGCTGCTCCCTCACACCAATATCTGGCACGAGTGTCTGGAAAATGTCCTGGACCCCACACTTGTCACCATGCATGACCAGACAGTAGAGCCCACCCTAGTCCCTAACCAATGACTGGCCTTCTGGAGGGCAGCTGGTACCAGGAAAGGGGACAGCTCTGGGGTCAGTAGATCTGACCCCAAAGCTCAGCTCTGGCACTTACCTGCCAAGTGACCTTGCACAAGTTACTTTTCCCTCTGACACTCAGCTCAGTTTCTTCCACTGTGAGTGGGAGTTGTGAAAATTCATTGCAATCATAGAAGTCAGCACCCAGCATGGGAACAGTGAACAGGCATCTCTTCCAGGCCACCTCTACCCTCAGGAGCTCAGAAGTTCCTCATGCTGAACCTGAGGTCTCCTCAACAGAGGCTGAACCAGGTGGGCCCTCAGAGTGATTGGCAGAGGATCACTTGAGTGCCACCAAACAGGTGCCTTGCCATTTCTAGCTGGTTCTGAGGAGGGAGACCTGGCTGCAGTTATTCAGGTGGGCATTGACTGTCCAGAGAAAGGCTGGATCATGGCAAACGCCCAGTTGTTTCTAAGAAGGGTTGTGGGAGGACATTGCAGCGCAAGGATCACTCACTCATGTCAATCATCTGCATGCAGGAATGGGATGTAGGATGACTGAGCCACTGGGGACTAGAGGGCACTATCAATGGGGGAATGAAAAGGAAGTGGGAGGAGGGGTACAGGGCAGAGAGCAGAGCCTGGGCCTTTGAAGTCAGGTGGTCTGGGACCCAGTTCTGTGAGTTCATGGCTCTGTGTCCAGTTTTTGTGTGTTATAGGGCTTAGCACTTGCTAGGCAGGTGCTCTACCACTAAGCCACGCCTCCAGCCCTTTTTGCTTTACTTATTTTTTAGATAGGGTCTCATTCTTTTTGCCCAGGGTCAGCCTCAGCCTGTGTTTCTCCTACCTATGACTTCCAGATAGCTAGGATTACAATCATGCCACCATGCAAGGCTTGTATGTTGAGATGGGGCTCTTGATAACTTTGTGACCTGGCTGGTCTCAAACCGATCCTCCTAATCTTTGCCTCCCGAGTAGCTGGGATTACAGACTGAGTTCTTATGGACAGAGCTGTTTTGTGCTGGGCCTGTGGTGGGAGGGTAGGATCACATAAAAGCCAAATAAAGCTGGTGAGATTTGTCTGAAGTCAAAAAAGGTGGGGCTCATGTCGTTTTGTGACTGCTGAGAAAATCTGGTGATTGTATGGAAACTGAGCTTCCAAATGGGAGACACCCAGTCTGCAGCAGACTAAACCTGAGCACATTTTCTCCCAAGCCCCTCAGCCTCTCTGGGGATATCTTCCCTGTGTCCCAATATTCTAGTCATCTGTGAAACAACTTTCTCCCACCCCCTCCCCCAAAATGTAGTAGCTTAAAGTGACAATTTGTCATCCCTCATGGTCCCCTGGGTTGACTAGGGTCTGTGGTTGCAGGCAGAGGCATCTAGTCCTGGGGACCAAAGTGATGGCACCCTCACATGGTCTTAATCACTGCTGGCTGGCAGCTCATCTGGGAAGCACCCACACATGGCTCTCCAAGGGTCTCAGGCTTCTCCCAATATGGCAGCTGGGTTCCTAGAGGGGCTCCCAGCATTCCAACAGGCAGGAAGTAGGAGCTGTTAAACCCAATAAGACTCTACCCAGAGTGACCATAGCAACACTTCCATGCATTGTACTGGTCAAATCAGTTACAGGACTCACCCAGAGACAAGGGGTGGAGAACTAGACTCAACTCTTGCAAAGGAGCCTGTGGGAGGAGCCAGTGTAGCAGCCATGTTTGGAGCACATGGTCTGCACACCCAACCGCCATGCTGCCTTTCCTGCGTCAGGTTAAGTGGCTTTGACTCCACAAACAGACTTGTAATTTCTGAAACCCCCTCCTGCTTTTCTGACCATACCACCCATTGCTGGCCAGATGGTTTTCCCACGGCTAAATGCGGGCTTTATAAGTAGAGATCATCCTGCATACAATCTCCACTTCCTCAAGGTAGACTGCTGGGTGAGGGTCTGGGCCTGCTGGTTTGCTGTGCTCCCCCATCCTGACTCACCCTCATTTCCAGGGTTAGACCTCAGACATCCAGTCCCTGAGGGAGGAGGGGGTAGGCTGGTCCAGGAAGAAACTAAGAGCCTCCCCGAGGACCAGCCCAAGTGTCTGAATCTACTGTCTGCCTAAATAAGTAGTCTTATAAAGGGGCCTCTGAGCTGTAAAAGAAGGCAACACTGTGCCAGTATTGAGCAGGCCCTGATAATGCAGCAAAAAGGCACCAGTCATGCTGTGGGTTTCTCTCCTTGCTTGAGTTGAGAGCTCTGGCTGTCTGAGGTCTGACCCAGTGCTAACATCGGGTCTAAGAATTGGGGATTTGGGTGCTGCATGAGACTGTGTGGCTCTTTGTTACCTTTTTTTTTTTTTTTAATTTTGAGACAGTTGTAAACTCACAAGCATTTGTAGTAAGTAACATCCCATTACCCCTTCTCCAGTTTTACACACACTCATACACGTGTATTGTTCAAGTGTGTAGACTTTTCTGTGCAGTGTTAACACACAGACTTGCATAACCACCACACAATGATTCCTCATGCTACCCTTTTATTGCTGTGGCCAACTCCTTCCCCATATCCTTAATCCCTGGCCTTCACAAATCTCCATCTTTATAACTTTGCCATTTGAGAATACTCAGTAGAAGCAATCATACGGTAAGTAACTTAGTAACTTTTAAATTGGCTTTTGTCACTCAGCACCCTCCCTTGCAATGCATCCAGATTGTTGCCTGTGTTCCTTTTTTTGTTTATTGCTGAGTAGTGTTCCATGGTGTAGCTGTGCCACAGTTTGTGAACCACTCACCTGTGGTAAGCCATTTGGGTTTGCGGTTTGGGGATGTTACAAATAAAGCTGCTGTGAACGTTCACATGCAGGTTTCTTTGTGAACCTAAGTTTTCATTCTCTGAGGTAAGTGCCCAAGAGTGTACCTCCATCATCTTAATGAAGCAAGAGAGACCAACCAGGAGGTTATTTCAAGAGACACTTGGCCCCTTTCTGGAAAGGAGCTGGTTAGGCATATGTGCTTTCACCCGCACCCAGCATGTCATCTCTCCCCTGAACACCATATCTGGCCTTCAGGTGCAACCTTGGAGTGTTAAAGTTCCCATTAGGCCTCTTACACCAAGGTATAGGGACCTGTCCCTGTGGGGCTACCAAGAAGTGGGTAGAGGCCCACTATCAAAGTCCTTCCCTTGAGCCTCAAGGGCAGGAGATGAAAGGCCTAGGGGCTGCCAATCTGAGGGAGTTTCTCTCTGGGGCTGGACCCCCTCCTTTTGTACCCCTCAGAGTCATGCCAAGTTTCTCCTCTTTCAGGGAGACCAAGGGCAAGATGGAGCTGCAGGACCTCCAGGGCCCCCTGGGCCACCTGGGGCCCGGGGCCCTCCTGGTGACACTGGGAAAGATGGCCCCAGAGGAACTCAAGGCCCAGAGGTAAAAGAAGGTCCTGATCCTGCACTGACCCAAGCCCTGATCCCAGAGCCAACCCCAACCCCAGCACTAGCCCTAGTACAGACCCAATACAACCTTCATTCCAATCCAGACACTGAATCTGGACCTCAATTCCAGTTCAAATCCTGTCCGGGTCTAGACCTGAACCCTAACCAGATCCTTACCCCAACCAAGCCTTAAATCTAATATTGACCTGCTCCCTAACCAAAATCAAGACCTTGACCCCAAACTTATTCCCAAATCTTGATAGATGCTTCCAATAAAAACTATTAGACCCTACAGGCTGTGATCCTGACCCAAACCAAACTTTAACCCCAAATAGACCTACAGCCCCTAACCCTGACTTCAGCTGCAATCTCACAATCCTTACCCCAACTCTGATCCTAAGACCCATATGTGGGCTCCTTCTCTGCAGATTAACCTCCCTCCCATTGTCCTAACCCAAACCCTGGAGTCCAGGCCTCATTCTTCTACCTCTTACTTAACCCAAGGACTCCAACCTCTCCTCTCCTCCTCCAGTGCAACCAGCGCCCACACCTCCACCAGACTGCCACCAGGGTCCCCTATCAAAGCAACTGTTCGAATGACATCCATTCCTTTTCACATAAGGCTCAGCCTTTTCATCAGTGAAGTGGGAACAATGACACCCACTTTTCATGGCTGAGTGAGGATAAAGTGAGATAATGTACTTAGAGCCCCAGCCCAGATCACGGTGTGAGATTTGGGCTCAGGTAATGAAATATCTTTGGGTGCCTCATTGCTCGTCTCTCATGCTTCCTCAGGGTCCCAAAGGAGAGCCTGGACAAGACGGAGAGATGGTCAGTATCCAGGCCCTGTTGGCATGACTGTAGCTCCCAGACCTGGAAGCCCCTTTCTAGCACACACACCCCAGGATTATGTAGGTCTGTGTGTGTGCGTGAATGCATGCTCATGTGTGCGTACCTGCACACCTGCCCTCTTCCCACAGTAAGGGAATGGATGGGCGAGGTACCCAATCCAGGCAGAATTCCAATAGCCCCACTTTCCTGGCTGGGAGTCTGCAAGACACTTGTCACTGTGTAAGCCATAATGCAGCTACTGTCCGAGGCACCAGGAGTCAGTCCTGGTGCAACAGCCTGTCTCCTCATTTCTTGAACTTGGCATTGCCCTTGATAAAAGGACAATGATATTTAACACCTTCTTTTCTCTTGTTGCAGGGCCCCAAGGGACCCCCAGGACCCAAGGTGAGTGCACCTCACCCCTGTCCCACTCCCACATCTGGGGTGGATGGGCTCCCTCACCACCACACTCTTTTCCTCCCACCCAACATCTCCCCCACTGAAGCCAGGGCAGTAGGGTTAAGAGACCCAGTTCCATGACCGTGGGCAGTTTACTGTATCTCTAGGACTCAGTTTACCTACCTGTAAAATAGGGGCATGATAGACCTTTCCTACCTTAACTTCACACAGGATTGTGAGTGTTCAGTCATAAAACATATTAGCTGTTTGGTTTTTAATAGACTTTACTCTAGAGACAGTTTTAGGTCCACAGCAAAATTCAGGGGAAGGTACAGAGGTTACCTCTATGCCCCTTGCCCCTCAAATGCACAGCCGCTCCCATTATCAGCATCCTCCACCAGAGTAGTACATGCGTTACAACTGATGAACCTGCATGGATATGTCACTGCCTCCCAAGGCCTAAGTCACACAAGGCCTCACTCTGCGCTTGTACACAGTGGTTTTGAACAAATGTGTAACAATGAAAGCCCTCCATTATAGCCCTCACAGAATAGTTTTCCTGCCATAAAATTTCCACCAACACACACACACACACACACCAATCCCTGGCAGCAGGAGTCTCTTTACTGTCGGTAGCTTTGTCTTTTCCAAACTGTCACCGAGATGAATGCAGACATTACACGGTCTCATCAGAGGGCTCCCTACCCTCAGCAGTGTGCTCTGAAGGTTCTACTGGTCCTTCCGTGCTTTGGTAACTCATTTCTCATTACGGCTGAATCTTACTTCGTTGTCTAAAACATGCCACTTTATTTCCTCATTCACCCGCTGAAGCACATTTTGGTTGCTTTTCTTTTTTTTTTTTTTTTTTTTGGTGGCACTGGGAATTGAACTCAGGGCCTTGTGTTTCTTGTGATTGCTAGGCAAGTGCTATACCATTTGAGCCACACCTCCAGCCCATTTTTGTATTTTTGAGATAAAGTCTCAGGAACTATTTGTTCAGGATGGCTTCAAACCATGATCCTCCTGATCTCTGCCTCCCGAGGAGCTAGGATTACAGGCAGGAGCCATTCTAAGTAAAGCTGTTATCAACATCCTTGTGCAAGGTTTTCGTGTGGCCGTGTTTTCAACCACATTAGCTTTTTAAAATTTTTTTAAGACATGTTGTCTATACTGGCCTGAAACTCCCTATGTTCAAGACTGGCCTTGAACTTATGATCCTCCTGCCTCAGCCTCCAAAATGCTGGGACTGCAGCTCTGTATGACCATGCTAGGCTCTCCATTAGCTTTTGAAGCCCTCTCCAGATGTCAGCTCTCTCTTCTGATCCCTCCTTGAGCAGCACCCGGAGGTGGGCTGGGTCCTTCCCACAGGAGAGAGAAAGGATGGGGAAGGGGCCCTACTTAGCACCTGTGGAGCTTTCAGGGCCTTTTCACTCACCTTCCAACACCCCTCTGAGGCTGGGGAGGCCACCTCCTATCTTTCAAGAGCAGTGACTTGCCCAGGATCATTGAGCTTGGGAGTGAGTAGCTCAGAATGGACTCCAAGGCTGTCAGCCCCACTGCCCATCTGCACCTCTCTGGGGGTTCAGGGCTCTCTGGGACAGCACTGGCCACAGGTCATGGGTGCCACTTGTACCAAAAGAGGAAGAGGTCTGATGTGCAGGCCACACACCTACAGCTCTGACCTCTCTCTTGCACCTGTTTGCCCTTCAGGGTGAGCCCGGCATTCCTGGAAAGAAGGTGAGGAGGCCCACGGAGGAGCTTCTTGGCCAGAACATCAGGAAGTAGCTGGAGAGAAGGGCAGAGGCTGGGGATAAGGACAGGGATGTCCTTCTCTTACCCAGGCCCAAGTCCTCTCTGTGGGTGGTCGCCCTGTCCTAGATCGGAATTTCATTCATCTGTTCGCTCACTCGCTGTCTCTCTTCCACTTTCTCAAGCACATCACAGTCATCCCACTTCAGGCTGACACTGTGGTTCTCAAAGTGTGGTCCTGGGATCAGCATCACCTGGGGCCACACTAGAAATGCAAATTCGGAGGCCCACCCTAGATTCACTGAATCAGAGACTGAAGTGGCTGGGGGCTGTTTAGTCAGAACTCTGCGTGATTCTGATGTGCATGCAAGCCTGGGACCCAACCACCCAACAGGGATGGTCTTCCCCATCCCCACCTCTTCTCACTCCAGGCCTCCTCCTCCCATCCAGTTCTCAGCAAATTGTCCACCCCAGGAGCCTCTATCACCCTCATATTCTTTTCCCAACACTGAGCTACTTCCTGACAAAGTGCCTTCTATTTATTTGAATATCTTTTGTCCCATGGCCTCCTCTGACTCCATCAGGGCAGGGACCTCATCGGCCTGGCCCACAGGGGATGCTCACAGAATATTTGCTGAATGAATAATGGGTATACTCCACTCACCTGTCCGTGCATTGTTTCAGCAAACACCTGCTAGGGCTTGCTCACCTCTAATTTCCATGGCACAGAGGTGATCTGACCCCACCTGCCCTAGAGGGCTAAGGAGGGAGGAAGGAGCTGCCTTGAGCCACAATGCCTGGTGTTGGTGCCACGCTTTATTTGGTGTACTGAGGAGTCTAGAGCAGGGAGGGGGCAGTTAGCCACCAGAGGATGTGGCCAAGGTGTTCATGTGTGGTGGCTGTAGCCTTAACTATTCTCTCCCCAGGGGGATGATGGGACACCCAGCCAGCCAGGGCTCCCTGGACCCCCAGGGCCCAAGGTAGGTACCTTCCCCCCCCACCTCCTGCCTCCCTCCCACCCTCCACATTTGCCATCTGCCTGTGATGCCCCTGACCTGGCCCTTTCACATCACGGAGATGTGCCCAGACACCCAGGGCAGGCCAGAGTGGCCCATCACCAGCAGTCCTGCAGCTCATCCAGGTCATCTCTCTCTGCACCTCCAAGTCCTTTTGGTTCCCACCTTAGGTGACCCACTGTCTGTCCTGTCCCCAAGCCAGAAACTAGGTGTCATCTGCACACTTTATTCCCCAAGCCTTCGCAACAGCCACTAAATCCTGGCCAGCCTCCCTCCAAAATGTCTCTTGAGTCCCTGAGCCAAGATCCAGACTGGAAGGAGGTGGCTATAGTCTTAAGTCCTCTGGACTGGGGAGACCCCTCAAGTCCATGCCTCCACCCCAGGTGTGGCGTGTTCACTAGGAGACCTGTTTGCAAGGTTTAACAGCCCCACATGGTCCAGGCTTGCCCCCACCCCATGCTCACTATCACTGTGATTGTTTCTGTTTCAGGGTGAGCCAGGGAGTGTGGGGCCCCAAGGAGAGAATGGCATGGACGGTGCCCCAGGACCAAAGGTAACATTACAGTGCTCTGCTCTGACACCTGAAGGCCCCATTCAGACAGTCACCCAATTTCAAGGCGGAGATGTGGTTTCACCTCTAATTTGCACTTTTAAGCGGAGAGTCCAGGACGGCCTGGGCCAGGGGTCTCCTTTGACTCAGAGGTTGGCCTGGAGGAGGGTGGCAGGGAGGCTGAGTGAGTGACAAGGCCTCTGTCAGGTCCAGCTCTGGGCTAACCCGCCTTGCAACTCCTAGGCTCAAGTCCCTGTCTACACACTGTAGGGACAGGGAAGGGTCTGACAGTTGTCCCATTTCCTGGAGGGTCCTTCCCATACATAGGTCATTAGGCTGCCAGCGTGTAGGCCCTTGAGAAAGGGGACTGGAGGTGGGGCAGGTGAGGGCTTCTACACCCCACCTACAACCATGTGTCTCCACAGGGGGAGCCCGGCCACCCAGGCACGGATGGAACCACAGGGCCCCGGGTAAGCAGCCTCCCCTGCCACAGTAGTGCCATTCCCTCAGCTTTAGAAGTTCCTTGTCCCCACAGAGACACAGAGTTTCTGTAGAGATGCAGGATCTGGGCATCTTGTTTAATTTTTTTATTAGTGATTTTTAAAATTTCACAACACGTGCTTGAAATATTCAGACATGGATGTATTACAGTAAGAGCCTGGCCTCTTATTATTAAATCATAGCTGACTCTGTGCCCTTCTCTGTGCACATTCAAACCTAGGTTCTCCTAGGGTGTGACCTACCCACTGTGGAGTGGGCCTCACCCTTCCCAGCCTCACATGGAGGTGCTCCTCTCACCAGGAGCACTGCCAACCCCAGATCTTTTGTGACCAGCACTGTGACAGACCTTTATGCTGACATACAGGTCCTGTTCTTGGCTCTGTTGCCTCATGTGACCATGTCCCCTCCTGTGACCAGTAGATAAATTCTTCCTCCAAAAAAACAGATACGAGGCCCCAGGCTGGCTGCACAGGTGGCTAGGGTGGGATTAGGCACCGAGTGTGGGGTTTCTGTATACACTGGATAGTCCCATGTAGGTCATGACCCAAGGGCAGCCGGACAACAAGGCCCGAGCCTGGTGCTCTGCCCTGTGCAGGACTTGTGACCCCCCACTGTTCTCTGGACAAGGAGCAACCTGGGTAGGGAAGTGTGATTCCAAGGGGAAGAGCTTGGCAGGAGGCAGCAGGCACCTGTGCAGCCTGCAGTGTATGTGTAGATGGATGTGGACTGTACACAATCAGGACTGCCTAGGAATGGGTGTTAGTGCATGCTCTGTGCGACCTCTACCAGAAGGCAGGAAAAGGAGACCCTATCCAACCCACCCATGGCCTTCACCGGTCTTGGAAGGGTAAGGTTGTTTTTAGCTTTGACAACATTTGAAAATCTGAAGAACTTCACATCAAAATTAGGCTTTCCATTTTCCCCCAAGAAGTCTGGGGTCAGGCCTCAGTGGAACTTGAATACCCACATGGAGGCAAAACACAGCCTCCTCTTGGCCAGGCGGGAGCATGTTCTTCAGTTGGCCTCCAGACCCCACCTGCCACTTCACGTTTGCTGGGACACACTGGCTTGTGCCTGAGGGCCTAGCACACTGCAAAGCTGGTCCAGGGTGCACAGGTGTGTGTGGGCTTTGGACTGCAAGATTCGTGTCCCCCTTAGCTCTGAGTATGGCAAAGAGGATGACCACATTCACCTACAGAGAGCTCTTCCCTGAAGTTCTTTTTTTGTTGTTTCATTTGGTTTTGGTTTTCTGGTACTGGGGTTTGAACTCAGGGCCTCAAGCTTGCTAGGCAGCACTCCACCACTTGAATCATTCTGTCAGCTTCCCTGAAGTTCTTTTTTTTTTTTCTTTTATTATTCATATGTGCAAACAAGGCTTGGGTCATTTCTCACCCCTGCCCCCACCCCCTCCCTTACCACCCACTCCGCCCCCTCCCTCTCCCCCACCTCAATACCCAGCAGAAACTATTTTGCCCTGATTTCTGATTTGTTGTAGAGACCCTGAAGTTCTTAATTTTCTTCTATCTCAGGGTCCCCCAGGTCTCAAGGGTGAGCAAGGAGACACAGTGGTGATTGACTATGATGGCAGGATCTTGGACGCCCTGAAGGTAGTGTTCCTGGTGGCCAGCCACGCCCTTGATGTCCAGTTCCTGAGAGAATAGCAGCTCGCTTTGTGTAAAAATCCTGTACTTTTCTACACAAGAGACCAGGATCAGCTTAGTATAAAAGCCTCAATTCCATAAAGTGCCTGGTCCTGAGACCCACATGACGCTAAGGCAGAATGTAGCTCATGTGGCCCGGGCTCCCCAGAGGCCAAGGCAATAAGGGAAGCTCCTCCCTCAGGGGCAGGAGACAGAACAGTTTGTGATGACTAAACCCACCAGTGTCTCTTCTGGGGGCCTCCTAAGGAAGACTGACCAGAAGTCTAGTTCCTTTTCTAATAACTATTATGAAGGGGGACTGAGTGGGGCAAGGCCTGTCCCAGGCATCTCAGGACATGTGTGGCCTCTGGCCCTGCCCACTAACTGGCACACTTGGAACCACAACTAGAGCAGAGGGAGGTCAGGTGCCAGCTGCTCGCAGTACCAAGGAAAGGAACTGGGATGGGGGTTGGGTGGTCATCAGTACCAAACTGGGCATTAGCGCCTGACCCCACCTGAGTTTCAATCCCAGTTATCTCCCATAGGCCGCAGGGAAGTACAAGTTGATGGTAACTGTGGCCTATCCCAGGCCTGCATGGTGGAGTGTGGTATAACTTGGCTCTGAGGGCATGCCCGTCCACGGTGTGTCTCAGGCTGACTGGGACCCATGTGGGAGAAGCCCTAGGAGTGCAGGGATTCAGGAGGTGGATTTGGATGCCAGGCTGGATTGATGATTCAGTCTGATGGGCAGTAGGAGCCATAGTCAGTTCTTGAGCAGGAGAAGGATGTCAAAAAGAAAAAATGGGCTAGCTGGGGAGTAGTGTGAAGGAATGTGAACATGGGTGTCAGGGAATGCTGGAGGGAGGGGCCCACCAGGGAGGCAGGTTCTGGGCCTGGACCTAGAGAAGTGAGAAGGGTGGAGACAATGCAGTAAGACCAGGGACAGCTCAGTGGGGACACTAGCAAGAAAGGGAAGGTTGGGGAAAGGAGGGGCAAGTGAAGGAAGTAGAGCTTGTCAGCCAGGGGAGCTGTACTGGATATGGCCTTTGAGAGGGCGCGTGAGTCCAGAGGGGTGAGTGGGGGGCAGTAAGGAGCCGTGATGAGCAGACGACCTGTGGGAAGCCTAGGTTGGAAGAAGAGCTTAGTAGTAGGGTCAGACACTGGAGACCTGGTCCCCTACCAGTGCCACTGAGGAACTGGGACGAGCAGACAGCAGGCGATAGAACCGGATGGTCAGAGAGCTCACAGAATAGGCAGAGATGGCAGGGCCGGGTCACTGTTCAGGATGCAATTTTTGGCTGCCCTTGTATGCCAGCAAGGGATTTAAGCTTGTTTTGAGGGACAATAGGAAGCCATCACAGACTCTTGAGCAGCAGAGTGTTGTGAAGAAATCATATTTGCTCTGAGGGCAGAGAGATTCTGGGCCTTCCATAGCAGTGGACATTGCGGTATTTTATCCAATGCCCTGTCACCTCCCTGGCCTCTCCCAAGGGAGAATGAGCTGCATGCCATGTCCTGATCAGCCTGGGTAGGAGGTGGGCAGCAGGTCCTCATGGTCTGTCTGCTGCTGGCTACATAAGGACCTGCCCCAGGTGGAAGGATTGGGTAGGCAGGGGGGGCCTTCTCTAACCACTGACTGGCTTGATTTTTCATACACAGGGTCCTCCTGGGCCTCAGGGAGCCCCAGGGCCACCAGGGATGCCTGGAGCCAAGGTCAGTGCAGATGCAGCTACATGGTCCCCCAAACCATGTCTCCACCTCCTCTTTCCTCTCTGACATATGTTCCCACTTCCCTCCTGGAGTCCTGGCTGGCTTCTGCGGCTCAGAGAAAGGGGCTCTGCCCCTCTTTAACCAATCAGGTCCTTCTTCCTGGGCCCCAGCTCCCCCCAGGAAGCCTCACGCACACATTGAAGAGAAAAATCAGCCCCTCAGGGCATCACAACAGACCTTAAATATGCTGCACCTATTCGTGTACCCCCTACCTACTTGTGTTGGAGAAAGAGCCCAAGACTCTGAAGTTACCCAGGGTCTGGTCCTGGCATTGTTATACCTGGGCTGTGTGTGGCCTGGGTCAAGTCACTTAACCCTTTGACTTCAGCTCCTAAATCTATAGCAGGCCAGCCATAAATGACTGCCACCAGCTCTGTCTGCCTCTTGGGGGCTGAGCACAAGAAGGAGAGTAGGCAGTAGATGCCTGGCACAGTGCTCACCACCCAGGGGGTGCCCTCTTGGAAGTCTAGCTGTGGGGACCCAGCCTAGGGACTGTGCTGGGGCCTCTTAGCAGGTGCTAAGAGAGCCATAACTCCTTTCACTGTTCTCTTCCAGGGTGAACTTGGATTGCCTGGCGCCCCAGGAATCGATGGAGAGAAGGTCTCTGGGCCTTGCTCATGCTGGTGCTGGGTACTGGGGTGTGTGTGAGCATGTGTGTGTGTGTGTGTGTGTGTGTGTGTGTGTGTGTGTGTGTGTGTGTATGTAGGTATGTGTACAGTTGCTCAGATAGAGAGAGAGAGAAACAACTATGAGAAAGAGAGAGGCCATAGTACATGGTACTAAGCATAGAGTCTGCTGGGCTGTCATTGTGCCAGTTGTTGGCCCTTTGGGCCTTGGGTGAGTTGCTCGCTTTCTGGCAACCTCAGGTTCCCTGTCTGTAGGTGAGGAAGATGCAGGCCTTTTCTGAGGGTTGCACAGCTCTATCTGCAAGCTACTGAGAGCAGCTCATGGCTCATGGAGCAGAGGATCCCAAATATTTCCCTGCTGGGCATTGTTAGTCTTACTGTAAATGTATGTGGGAGAGAAAGGTGATCTTAAATGGACATGAGCACATCCTTGGGTGTCACTTGACCTCTGTGTGTCTTTACTGCTGGGTCCCTCGTGTGGGGCCCATCTTGAACATGATGTAATCGGTTGATGAAGGCACGTGGGATTCAAAGATTCAAAGCTCCTGAGATGTGAGCACAGCATTGGCCGCATGAGTGCCCAAGTGGCTGCCCACCCTCAACTATTCTCACACTCCAAGCAAGCAGGAAGTGGGCTGTCCCCTCCTTATCTCCATCCAGCTCCCCCACTGCATTCAGCCAAGGCTTCCAGCTACCTGGGCTGGAGGTTGGGGACACATGAGCAGGAAGTAGGGGGTTTGGCCTGGCCTGACTTAGCTCAGGGACCGACCAGGGTTCCTGAGTTCCACTAATTCCTTGTTCTGGTGGCTTTCAGGGTCCCAAAGGAGCTAAAGGAGACCCAGGAGAGCCTGGGCCAACTGGACCCAAAGGGGAAGCCGGAGAAATGGGCTTGTCTGGCCTACCGGTATGTGACTGCGTGGGTCCCATCCACTTGCTTGATCCTGAGGTTCCTGAAGTGAATATGTGCCCATGTGGGGATGGGGGGTGGAAGAGGCAGGGATTGGAATGGTCCATAATAAACACCCTTGGTCATTGTCACGGTCATTTTTGGTGTTACTCTTGTCATGGCTGGATCAGAACACCCACTGGGAACTTGTCACTTTTTGGCTGTTGTGTAACTCAAGCTAAGAGGTAGTGCTAGGGTTTGAACCCAGGTCTTTGCTTCAGTGGCCCTGTCATTCTGCACCACAGGACACAATTCGTATGTGCTACACACCACTCTGCTCCACACCCAGGGTGGCTCACACTGGTTTGGGGAAAAGTGCTTTAAGCAGCAATGGCCAGTTTACTGCTACTGTGTGGGAGTGGGGTGGGGTGGGGTGGGGTGGGGAAGGTGGCTGGGTACCTTAAGTGATTTTAGAATGGACAGGAAGGGCTCACAGGCTACCCCATCTTGCAGGGTGCTGACGGCCCCAAGGGAGAAAAAGGAGAATCAGCCTCTGATAACCTACAAGAGAGCCTGGTAAGGGGATGCTGAGGCTTGGGGCTTCCCCCAACACCTAGGCCTAGTGGGGACCATGAGCCTTGGGACACAAAAGCTACCCTAGTCTGACCTAACACAGGACAGTGGGGGAGGAGGAGTGAGGGACCTCAGGCTGCGTCCCCCACCCAAGGCCCATCTGAGAAGCCAAAGGCCATCTGCTGGGTCCCTCACCAGGCTCTGCCTTCCCAGGGGCAAGAAGGAGCCTTGCCCAGGGGCTCCAGGCCCAGCACCCAGGAGTGTTATCCCAGTGTGGGGTAGGTGAGGAATGAGAGTACTGTGGGTGACTAACCCATCTCTGACCCTTCCTAGGCCCAGATCATTGTGGAGCCAGGTCCTCCCGGTCCCCCCGGCCCCCCAGGCCCCATGGTAAGGACAATTTGGCTTAAAGCAGCTGGGATACCAAGAGGGTGGTGGGCCCAGGCCCCAGAGCTGTGACCAAGGGGAGGGCAGGATTTCTCATGGTGCTAGCTGAGCTGGGGTCAGGACCACAGGGGCTGCTGTAGGAGGGCCCTGGCCCTGAGGTCTTCGCCCATCTTGATGGCCCATCTGATCTGCTTTCTCCTCCTTCTCCAGGGCCTCCAGGGAATCCAGGGTCCCAAGGTGAGTGGGTAGAGATCCCCTCCTCACCCAGACTCCTAATGAGCAGTTCAGAAAGCCTTGCTAATCCCATGCTTGGCCCAGACCCAGTTCTGAGACTTTTGAGGGTTAACCATCCCCAATGCCCTGTACTGAAGCCTCTCTGATATCCTCAGGGAGGGACCCCACTCCCACCCCCATACTTAGGATCAGTTCTTTCACTTTCCCCTCTGCCTAGGGGCCCCAGTCTCTCTCTCTCCTCCCCTGGCCCATCTCCCATCTCATTTGCCTCCTCACCCACTTTTCCACCTTTGTCGGGTCCCCATCTCTTGCCTGTGCACATCTGTCTCTCAACTGCCCACAGCCCGAATACAGTCTTGAGTTTGGTGTGTATTTCATAATGCCATGTTCTCAGCTCTTAAATTAAAACCTCAAGTGTGGTCTGCCCACACGCCTGCCCCGGGGAGGCCAGCTGGCCCCACTCCTTGCTTTACTGTGTCTCATTTATCCTGCACATCTCTGCCTCCCCAGCTCAGAGGCCAGATGGAGGACTCTGAGTCATGGAATCCCAACCTAAGTGGAGCTCAGTTGCACTGCTTCTGGCTGTTTTGTCCCAAGGCCTCCCAGGATCATACTTAGAAGAGGCAGCTGCTGTCAGGGACCAAGGCTGGGACTGAGGGATCTGACGGGTCCTCAGCCCTACCACTGCCTGGCTGTGCAGCTGGGTTCATCCCTGCCCCTCTCTGTATCCTTTCCTACTCTGTAGAATGGATGTAGGGCTGGCGAAGTGGCTCAAGTGATAGAACGCTTGCTTAGCAAACCCCACTGAAAATAAAAGGAAAAGGAATGGATGTGACCATTGCCTTCCCATGACTGCTAAGGGAACCCATGTGTGGGAAAAGAGAAACTGTACTCTCCCATAGCTCATTGCAGTCCTCGCTGTGGAGCACGCTGGGCCCATGCTGTCACGGAGCCCGGAGTCTGTTGTTCTGTCCCTCCACCATGCACACCCCACTCCCCTAGCTTTCCTGTTCTATTGTCTGTCTGACCCCTTCTCCTTGACCGGTTTCTCTCTTCATTTCCAGGGCTTGGATGGAACAAAGGGAGAGAAGGGTGCATCAGGTGAAAGAGGTCCTCACGGCCTGCCTGTGAGTGTCATGAGCCATTTTTTTCCCCAGAGATATCTCATCCTATAACCATCATGCTTTCTAACCCACTCTTTTTCTATACAGGGACCAGTTGGCCCACCAGGCCTTATTGGGCTGCCAGGAACCAAAGGAGAAAAGGTAAGACCTAACGTGTACAACTTCCCCTCATACACACACACACACACACACACACACACACACACACACACACTATAGCCACGCACCCCTGGTGTCACTCAACCTTTGAGGCTGAACCCTTACACAGGGCCAGGGACCTGTGACTCTGTGACACCATTCTGCCTGCCCTCTGCCCATGCCTGCAGTGGGTCTCCTTGCCCCGATGTCTGTGGCCAAGCCACAGGGCTGGGCTCCTTGGCAGCTATGATCCCCAGCAGCTGTGCTCCCAGCACCCTTTCTCCAGCCCCTTACATTCTCTCTTGTGTCTCTCCTCAGGGCAGACCCGGCGAGCCAGGTCTTGATGTAAGTTTCTCATCCTTCACTGTGAGTGACTGGATCCTTCTTGTGTGTGTCCTCTATCCTCACATTGGTCGATACAGTGACCGGATCTGGCTGGCTCAAGCATGAATCCTTCCCAAGGGGTGTGACTGACAGATTCCCCTATGTTGACAGTGCCAAGTCCAGTTTAGAATAGGTGCTTTAAGAATGGATGACGGAGAATTGATGAATAGATGGATGGTGCATGGACGGGTGGGTAAATGGCTGATGTACTGTAGTAGAGAGGTGGGGCAAGCTGTGAGGAACCTGCTGCAGTGACCTAGAGAACGATGACGAGGCTTCAGCTAAGGAGGTATTGTGGGAAGGAAAGTAAAGGAAGCATTGGCTTTCTTTCATTCTCTCTGGCCTCCTTTGGTTGCACAATGTAAACAAATCATAGTTTAAACTGATTTAAAATGACTCATATCTGAGAAGTCTGGAGGTTCAACACACAAATCTAAGACATGACTATGTTGGCACAACCCCTCTCATCTCTGCCTTCCCTGTATGGGAATCACTGGGAGGTGAAGGAGAGCCACAGCTCCACACCTGTACCTTCCCGGGCCAAATCCAGAAGGAAGATTTGCCCCATTCTCCTGCTGTGAGAAAATCTCTTTGGCTGTCTTTGGTCAACACTGAGCTATTACTGGGCCACAGGAGTGCAGTCCACTCATTGGCCCTGGGACTGGCACTAGTATCCATGGACTATGAGAAGAGGGGGTGGTTCCCAAAAAGATCAGGTAGCTGTCCTGAGAGAAATGTAACCAGCTTCAGGGCTGCAAGAGCTCTGGTGACCATCCTAGACTTGTGTGTGTGTGTGTGTGTGTGTGTGTGTGTGTGTGTGTGTGTGTGGTACCAAGGTTTGAATTCAGAGCCTACACCTTGAGCCACGCCACCAGCCCTTTTTTTTTTTTTTTTTCTGAGATAGGGTCTTGAGAGCTATTTGCCCAGGCTGGCTTCAAACCTCAATCCTCCTGATCTCTGCCTCTTGAGTAGCTAAGATTACAGGCGTGAGCCACCAACACCTGGCTCACCCTAGACTTTAAGGAGAGAACACCACCTTGGAGAGCAAGTGTGGACCAGAAGGAGGAGCGTTGGCCAGGGTTCCTCACTGGGGATGGGGGAAGAAGCTCCATCTGTGAAACCACACTGGGAAGTGGTGCTGATCATTCAGGCTCTGGATCCAGGGAGGTTGTGGGAGTTGGAGCAAAAGAAACTCCACACCATGTGGGAGTAGCGGCAGCTACCTCCTAGGAGGCATGGACTCAGGATGGCTGGCATCTCAAAGCCTTGCCTGCCAGCTCTGCCTGGTTTACCCCCTGTCCCTCCCCCACCAGACCCAGCAGAAATAGCAACCCTGCTCAGAAGCTTCCTTTGACTCCCCATCCCTTCACAGAACAGTCCTTTTCCTGTTATCCCAGCACCCGTTTCATACCTCAGTCCCTGAGCATCAACTGCTATTGTCAGTCCTCTGTGACCTTGCCTGGTAGACACAAGGGAATGGGTCAAATCCATTTCTCTGTACTCACTGTCCAGCCCACATCCCAGATCTAGTGGATGCTTTGTCATGTTAGTTGACTGGATGGGCAGAAAGAGAGATGGACAGATAGAGGAACAGACAGATGAGTGTACAAGAATTGAGCCAAGAACAGAAGTCACCTTCTCTTAGTCTGTCAAAGATAGCAACATAAACTTCCATGAGTTTCCTCAGTCTCAGTCCCCAGCTAAGCCTGGGCCAGTGCCTGTTGCATCTGGCTGTGACCTAGAAAGCCCCTCGTCATCAGCTCTGCCTGAGTGATGGCTTCTGTCCAGAGACAACAGTGGTCTGTTTTGGAGAAGCAGAGCTGGCATCCTAAATGCATGCTTTTCCCTGTGTCCACCTAACAGGCCAGGTAGCTTGGGCCATGAATGTGCATGGAGGGAGGAGGTAGCGGTGGATGGGGAAGGAGCAGAGATGAAGAAATCACAGAGAAAGAGTATTTAACCCTCATTTGCCAGTTTAACCTTTAATTCTTCTGTCAGGGTTTTCCTGGACCCCGGGGAGAGAAAGGTGACCGGAGCGATCGTGGAGAGAAGGTGAGGACAACAGGAAAGGGGAAACGAGGCAGGAATGGGAGGCTAGGAAAAGCCAGCAAAGATGAGAGCAGCCAAATGGCGCAGGTACAGGCTGAAACTGAAGCTTCAGGGTCTGATGGCTCTGAAAGGTGGTAGAGGGGTCCTGAGTCTGGCAGCCATGGTCACCCCTCCACCTTCCTTCTTGTGCAGGGAGAGCGAGGAGTCCCCGGCCGGAAAGGAGTGAAGGGCCAGAAGGGAGAGCCAGGTCCGCCGGGACTCGACCAGCCATGTCCTGTGGTAAGTGTCTGAACAGAACAGAGTCCTCGCCTGCTGGAGCCACCAAAACCATCATCAGGGCTCCTCTGGGCTTGGCACTGAGCCCCCATGGGCAAGATTGGGGGATGCAGCCCATCTATGGATGTGGAGGCATGGCCAGAGGCAGGGTCTGCTCACCAGGGTCACTTTCTCATCTTTACTCAGCCCCAGAGAAGACCTGCTTGAGTAGAGACCTGTCTTGGGCCATCTTAGGTTGGACAGGGGCCTGGCCAGGAGTGAAGTTGTTTACCCAGAGTTATCAGTAGTTTCAGAGTGCCCTGGGAGGGGCCTGAGTGCTGGAAAGGGAAGCCCAGCAGTCACATACTGAGACAGCACGCCCAGCCCCTGACCATGGCTGCCTGGGATCCCATTAGAGACTGACTCCCTCTGAGCTTAAGGCCAGGCTGGACCGTGACCCAACATCCTCAGCCATAGAGGAAGATGGGACAACCCTACCTTCCCTGGAGGTCTCTCATTCCCCTTCTCAACGCTTCTTCCCAGAAATGTCTTTTTCTAGTTTGGAGTAACCCACCCTGTCCCCTCTGTAAGCCTGAAGCCCGTCCTGTCCCTCCTCCCTCACTTATCTCTGTCCCTGCTCCTACCCAGTAGCCCTCGATAGCTCACCAGGCCCAGTGCCTAAAACAACCACAGTTTGGTTCCTGTCTTCTACAAGGCAAGAAGATTTACAAGTTGGGCTTTTCCAGTGGAGCTCAGAAGACAGGAGAACAAACAGCTGAGTCTCCATACTAAACTGGCCACATTCATGCCCAGCCACCCTAGCCAGGGATTTGGGACATGTGCAGGCAGACCCAGAGACAGGGACCCCACCCAGTCCTCTGGCCTCCAGTGAGTCACTTTAGCCCTCTGTGCCTTGGTCCCTTCATTCTTACAGTGGGTTGGTAACCCCTCCCTCCAGGTGGTTTTGAGAGGGTTGGTGAGAAAAAGGCATGAAAGATAGAGAGATAAACACACACAAAAAAGCCAGAGACAAGCCAGGTGTGGTAATCCCAACACTCAGGAGACTGAGGCAGGAAGATACCAAGTTCAAGATCACTTTGGGCTACATAGCAAGACCCTGTCTGAAAAGAGATGGCTAAGGTGATAAAGGGGCCCAGCTCTGTGGCTCCAGACCCTTGGTCAAGACTTCACGAAAATCAGAAAGCCCTTGTCATTGAAACAGGAACACTCTCGATGTGGAGACAAGCGGGGGGCACCAGGCCCCCGGGGCCCAGTAAGGGGCAGTGGGCCCTGCCCTGTGGTATGCAGTCTGGCCTGCTGTGTGCTGTGTGTGCTGTGCTAGGCCTTATGAGCAGTGTCTGTCCCCATCCTTCCATGCTTGTGCCTCGCATTCTCCCCTGGTCCCATTTCCCTTTGGTCTGCAGCCTGTGCCCCTGGTGTGCACATGAGAGGGGTTCAGGGGTGTGTTGCTTGTGTCTGAGGCTTATGCCTATGCTTTGGAGTACAGTGGAGTGTTTTCTGTGCTGGAGCCGCCCAGGGACTTTGCCTTTTGTCCCCATCCACCTCCTGGCCCTCCAAGCTGCCTGAAGAAAGCCACCCCCTGCTGGTTTCCTGGTGGCTGAGTGGGCATTGCTGGTGCCCCCAGACAACCCCAGCCCAGTGTCCCATGCTGGCAACCCATGCCCTCCCTGCCTGCCTTGCAGATGCAATCTCAGGCCAGGACAGGCTGGAGGGTTACCACCTCCTGAGCTGTCCTTACAACAGTGTCAGAGGCATTCCTGCCAAGCTCTGAAGACTCTCAGGTCCCAAGGCTGAATGGCCAGAGCCACTGTCACCACTGCCAGGCAAGAGGCTGGCCACACAGCCCCCTCCACAGGACCAGGTCCTCCTGGGTGGTGAATGTCTGGCACAATTACCTGTTACATCACAGGGTCCTCCTATTTCCATCCAGTACCCAGGTGTCCCCACAAAGCACAGTGAGAACACACTCAGGGTAAGTGTAGTGAGGGGGCTATTGTGCCCCAAATGGATAGAGGAGACACATAGCCCTGCATTAGTGGAGTTGAGGGGCTTCACACAGCAGCCACCTGGGCTGTATCTCCCTATGGACTTGGGAAGGGTGTGTGGGGTGTAAAGAGCTGACTGACTCCTGACCCTGTCACTGAAACCTTCTTCCTTTCCAGGGCCCCGACGGGCTGCCTGTGCCTGGCTGCTGGCATAAGGTACCTTGCAGGGAGGGGTCTCAGGGGTAGGCCTGGAGGAGTGTGGGGAGGAGTGGAGGGACAGAGATGACCCCTGGGGACTTGGAAGTATCACTTAGAGCTCCAGGTATCTGCAGCATCCCTCACAGTGACTGAATAACCAGGTTTCCCAGCAGTGGTTATGATTTTCCTGTCACATGGCCAAGGCTTGTAGTCCTGGCTGATGTATGCAACCTTTCCTGCTGGTCATAGGAGTTTCAGTTGGCACCTGGCCCAGCTCAGTGCAAAGCCTTCGGGGTTTCCTGGGACTCTGTACCAGCTGCCCCCACTAAAAGGACCCTGAGAAGAGTGAGGCCACACGCATTTCTGAGGAAATGGGCAGGATGGGGAACATGGGTGGGTGGGGGCATGGATGGAGCAGGGCCAGAGGGATCTCTCCAGGCCCCTCGTCACCTTCAGTCTTTCCTCCTTTTCCAGTGATCCCTAGATGCAGCTCACAGCCTGTACAGATCCATGTGGACATTCTTAATTTTTGTAAAAACAAAACAGTAATATATTGATCTTCTTACATGGGATGCGCCACCTGTGGCCTTAGAACATTGGAAAGTGTGCCAAGCAGCCCCAGAAGACCAGCACATAAAGCTGGCAAGAAAGCCAACGGGCAATCAGGGGACTCTGTACCTGAGGGGACCCTCAGGGCTTGGCTTTCCCCAGAGGAGAGAAGGTGAAAGCACCGGCTCGGGTGAGGCTAGAACGATGCTGGGTTGAGCCTCCGATCACCTGATTAGCAGAGACTCACAGCTGTCCCACTGCCCTGCAAGAGCTGTCCTCTGATGCCCCCGACTCCCTGTGTCACACCATATCCAACAAGACCCACTTGGACAGCAGCTGCAGCTGCTCTGGCCTCTCCAGCTTCCAGACTCAGCCACAACCAGCTGCACCCTGGACCCTGGGTTCACCAGGACAGAAGAAGACTTTTGCCCAGCATTTGGGGAGGAAACAGTAGAAAGCACCCCAAGAGGATCTAGTTCCACCCCCCCCAAGCTCAGCAGGCCTCTGGACACCAGCCTGCCATGTATCATCTGACCTTGAGAAGTTGCTGAGCTTTGAGGCTGCCACGTGGAGTCAACTGCGGAGAGCCCAGTAGTCCCTAAGGGTGGGAATGGAGAGTCTTTGATTGCTCTGGCTGCTACTTCCTGTCTTTATCACCACACCACCAAGGGCAGGGACAGGAAGGGACTTTGCCAGCCCTGAGAAGACGGACCTCCAACTCAGAGCTTGGGTCTTAGTGGCCCCAAGTCTCCCGTCCAGACTGACCAGACTTTGGTCAGTCTGGCAGAAATGAGCCTCCTGGTGAGTTGTGCAGATCTGAGCAGCGGACCTGCCCCCTCCTCCCATGTGCTCTGTAAGAGACTTTATCACTTGTAACAAAGGTTCCCAGCAGCCAACTCTGTCCTGGCTCCTGGCCTCCTCTCTCTGTGTAGATGGGCATCACTTTATGTAATAAACTACAAATGTGTGTCCAGGTGTGCCTGTCCTTGCAGACTGTCCTGGACACCTCTGGTGAAAGTTTCATCCTGGTCATTTTCAGGATGGGAGGGAAAAGGGGCGATTCTCCCTGGAGAAAAGCCATCCCAGAAACCAGATGGTCAGAGCAGAGACCAGTGGGGAGTTCCGAGGACATAATCTGAAGGACTGGTCCTGCCATACGCTAGCAGAGTCCTTAAGCCAAACACTTCATGTCACTGAACCCTTGTGTGCTCCTCTACTGTGCCTACCAGTGACTGTTGCATAACAAATCACCCCAAAACTTGTTGCCTTAAAGTGTTTGTTTCTCTTATATCATTCTGGGGTTCGTGGGCTCAGCGGGGTGGCTCTCCCTCATTGGGTTATTGTTGCTGCCTGTTCGCTAGGACCCAGGTGGCCAGGACACCTACCCATGTCATAGGTAGGCTTGGGCCTTTTCACAGCATGTGGCTGGATTTCAAGGGTGAGTGAACCAGAAGGCCAAACCTCCAAAGTCATATGGTGTCACTTTCTGCCAGAGTTAGGGGCTCAATGCAATTTCAGGGGTGGGAGGCAGACCCCACCTCTCCAGTGAAAAGTGCTAACATCATATTTTAAGGAGAAAACATGGGATAGTAGATCTCGCAGCCATCTTAGAAAATGCCACCTGCCACCTCATCTGTAAAATGGGATGGCAATGCTTAAAACTCAAATTGTGGCTGGGCGCCAGTGGTTCACACCTGTAATCCTAGCTACTCAGGAGGCAGAGATCAGGAGGATCACAGTTCGAAGCCAGCCTGGAAAAATAGTTCGTGAGACCTTATCTCAAAAAAAAAAAAATCACAAAAAAGGGCTGGTTCAAAATGTAGGCCCTGAGTTCAAGCCCCAGTACAAAAAAAAAAAAAAAAAAAAAACCTCAAACTGTGGCTCAATGAGGACAAACTTTGTGAGATACATGTACATGGAGAACGTAGGATAGGTCAGACACCTGAAATACCTGTGATTGACTTCCCTCTCTTCTCCTCACTCCAAGACCAAGCAAGGACCATAGCTTGGCAGAGCACATCCATGTCTCTCATTCCAGCTGGTCCTTACAAAATCCTAAGAGAGGACCCAGCAAATGTGCCCATTTCACAGATGGCAAAATGAAGCACTTTCCAGGGTGGTGTAGAGAAGCCTCCTTTAGAGTTCCAGAATAACCACCCAAATCCACTGTGCTCCATAGTTAGCAATTCACTCCTTCCTCCACCTAGGAGCCTTGCTTGATCCTGTCATCAGCCAGTGAAGGATGGGGCCAATGTGGTAGTTGCCACTGCGTCCAGTTTGCATACGGCAAAACTGAAGCTGAGAGGGAGTAGTCACCTGCCCAGGGGTGCCCAACCAGGAAGGAAAGGAAGGCTTGGGACTGGACCCAGGCTCTTGGATGCCCTCTAATTTCTTTTCAAAATCGTTTGGCAGGGGAAGAACTCTGCTAGGCAGCACCATGATAATGGGTGACCAGCAGGTAGAGCTTCGAGGAGGGAGAAGCCACATAGTCCCCACTTCTCAGACATCCGAGGGGGTCCCTATCCTCCACTGAACAGGACAGGGCCATTCCCGGCCCATTGCTGCCCTCTTGTGGCCTCATACCTGTATCCTCAGGCCTGGAAACTTCAGAATGTAGAGCCTATTGAGTCCTTAGAGAGATGGGGTGAGGACCAAGAGGCTCAGGAAGAGTGAATGACTTGTTCAAGGTCCTAGCTAAGACACCTGGGACAGTCAGTCTCACAGCTGAGCCTCAAGGACTGGGGGGAGGGGGGCCTCAGAACTCCATGCCAAGAAGGGCAGCTTTCTGGCAAATTACCCATTCCAGAAGAAAGAGAAACTCATTTATTGAATCCTGCTTGTGCCATGGCAATTAATCTAACCACCAGGACCACTGTCCCCTTGGACAAATGAATCTGAGGCCTGAGAGAAGCCAGGTCCCCTTCCTCCAGATCCCCAGGACATCACTAGAAGTGTAGAAGATGCTTTGGGTTGTCACAAAATTGGGGATGCTCCTGGCATTCAGTGGACAGAGCCAGGGATGGCACATATCTCAAACGCATATGACATTCCTGCCCAATGATGAATCATTTCACTAGAAAGCTAGTTGAGAAACACCCTGTTCAAGCCTTGCTCAGCCACTTCCTCCATCCCATGCCCGCTTAGTCTCCAGTATTGTCTTGAAGGCCAGGCGTGAGATAATAGGGGTATTTAGCATTGATGGAGAACAAAATGAGTCCGTGGATAATCTACACCCAGGAAATGTCCCAGCCTGGGCTGATGCCAGCTGTATTGTCTCCTGATCCTGGACATCCTGGAGTAGGAGAGAAGTGAGCTAGTCCTGGCTGTAGCCTTCCCGCCCCCTATACCAAGACAAGAAAAGCCTATGAGCTCACACCTATAATCCTGGCTACTTGGGAGGCTGAGATCAAGAACATCTCAGTTTGAGGCCAGCCCAGGCAAACAGTTCGCAAGATCCCATCTCCAAAATAACCAGAGCACATGGGCTGAGGTGTGGCTCAAGCAGTAGAGCGCTCGCTTTGCAAGCGTGAAGCGCTGAGTTCAAACCTCAGTCTCACTAAAAACAAGCCTATGAGCCAACCTGACTGCTTTGAGCTGCCCTGGGCTATCGTAGCTGGAGTTTAGGCTTCAAGACAGTATGCTGAAGATGGGGATGAGAGAAGTCTGTCTGTCTGTCTGCTTGTCTCTCTCTCTCACATACACATACTATTAAAAGCTGGAACTTAGAGGAACCATGGGCCTCTCCGCCAAACATTGAGAAAACTGGTGACCACAGTCCCACTCACACACATGGGGTCTTGGGGAGCCTTGACCCTCAGAAAAGGAGTATAGGCCACAAGCAGTTAACCGCTCTTGGTTAACTGAGGGGGAATTTTTTTCAAGAACCATGTAAAAGGTTTAATTCAGCTTTACAGATAACAAATAAAAAACTCCACTCAGTTTGGATCCTGAAAGAGTTCTGTGGATGGCAGTGTTAGTTGCATAGCAACAGAAATGTATTTAATGCTACAGAATTGCACCCTTGAAAATGGTAAGTCTTGTTATATATATTTTACCACAATAAAAATATAATAAATAGAAGAATGTTCTTTAATAAATGCCTTAAACATTTTGTAATTTTTCAGAGAAGGGAAGAAATTAGCAGTTCAGGAGTGAAGGAGGCCTGCTTTCTCCAGCCTGCTCGGGCACAGTCCCTGGAGTCCTTGTTCTAGGATCCATCAGGGCAGGAAGTCTCCCAGCTCCCAGCCTCTTGGAGACCTGTTCTTCTCACTGGCTGGAAGTACAGGAGACCTTATTGAAGGCCAGCCTCTGCAACAGACCTGCTGTGTGTCTGGGAGCAAAGGCCTTTCCTTTCTAGGCCGTAGTTTCCTGGGCAATGCAAGGGTCTTCCTGTCTGAACACTGCATGATTCTCTTAGCCTACACACATCTCAAGTTCAGCCTGCCTGGACTCTAGCAGGAATCGTGGTGTCCTGAGGATCTATCCAGCTCTTGGTGATTGCCTTGGTCAGCCCCAGCAGTGGCCTTATGCTCTTCCTTCTGCCCTTCTTCACAGTGGCCTTATGCTTGTCCTTCTGCCCTTCTTGCTGCTGCCGCACAGAGCTGGGACATAGTAGGTCATGCCCCTGCAGAGATAATCACTTCTACTCTGCACTGCCCAGGGCCTGGTACCACTCACACACTTCCCATTTAACACTCACAGGGCATAGTATTTTATGCACAGGGAAGGCAACTCACCCAGGTGTGGCCTGCCAGAACTCAAAGTACAGCTCAGCCAGGTGCCAGGAGCAGCGAGCAGGTTGTAACCAGGAATGCTAAGCCAAAGGCCAGACTGCCGTGATCCAAAGTCTGGTCCAGCCAGTCTCCCGAATACACCAGTTAACGAGTGTTTGTGTGCCTGCCTAGAAAGAGGGAGACCCTGAATTCAACCCCCAGTTCCACTAAAAAAAAAAAAAAAAAAAAAAAAAGGTGGTGAAGGTCAGAGGAAGAATTGGGGCACAAGGCCAGAAAGTCCTGGTCAAAAGTGTGATCGGTGGCTAAAACGACCTCAGGACTGGTCAGATGGGACCTTCTCAGGATAAGAAAATCATTGTTGCCTGGGGTGGGGGGTAGTTTCAATCTTCTTGCAAGATGTTTATTCATCAGCTCTGTCCTGGAACCCAAGGTGACTGGGGGGGTAGTTTCGATCTTGTCACAAGATGTATACCCCTCAGTTCTGTTCTTCTGGAACCCAAGGTGATTGAAAGTGACTGCAAGAGAGAACGGCTCAGAGCAAAAAGATAGAAAATGGAGGCCGGAATGCCAGGCTTGTCTCCTGCTTTTAGTTAACTTTTGGACCTAGATGAGGAGTCAGTGTTGTTTAACGAAAGCAGTTTCTAAGTACCTGTGATAGAATCACCTGGGAGTCCCAGGCCAGAACCCCGACTCCAGGAGTCCAGCATGTCTGGTTCGGCCACTCGCCCCAATATGCCAATTTAAAGAGCTGAGCGCTGACTTGGGGATGTGGCTCAAGTGGTAGCATGACACTTGGGAACACTTTCCTGGGAGGGAAACCGCAGGGGGCCTGACAGGAGAGGCCCGAGGTGCATCCTGGGACCAGAGCCTGGGCAGCAATCCGCCAGGCGGCACAACCTCGCCAGTGGGGAGCCTGCCAGCCTCCTCTGCCCAGTGAACCAGCGCCCAAAGTGAAGCGCGCCTCTTGCGGGCGGGGCCTAAGCCGTGGCGTGGGCGGGGCCTAGCGGACGGGGCGGAGCTAGGAGCCCAAGCCCGCGCGGCCGAGTCTGGGCGCCGCGCTCTTGCTGGGACTGACAGCTGGACGCCATGGCCGCGGATCGGCGCTCCAAGGCGGACACCCTGGCCCTGAGGCAGCGGCTCCTCAGGTAACCGAGGCAGGCTGCGGGGGAGGCGCACGCACGACGCACGGACGTCCGGCCCGGAGCCCGTGACTGCCCAGCTCCGCACGGCCTGGGCCCAGACGGAGTCCCGCGGATCGCGGAGTCCCTGGGTCCACCCCGCGGCTCCGAGCGTCCCCACCCGCCCCACAGTCCAGGCCAGGCACCATCAGCACCCCGGGAAGACGGCCTTTGTCTTGTCCCCTGGGAGGACTTCGCCCACAGCCGGCCCCGCAGCATAACCTGGGCCTGGCTTGGAAGGGTGGGTGGGGAGTCCTTTTCCAGGCAGCTGTAGAGGAAGTCTGCACTTAAGCTGTCTGTGCCCGAGGCCCTGGGTGGGACGTGGCAGGCCCGGAAGGCGGCCTTCTGCAGGGAGCAGCAGAGCCACCGGGCTGGCAAGGAAGGTTGAGGGTTGAAAGCCAGGGACCCAGTGTAAGTGCCCTTCCTCACACCGCCATCCGAGCCCCTTTTACCTAGGATCCAAGGGGCTGGTGTGGGCACACGCAGAAATGAGCCAGGCCACTCAGGCTTAAAATAATTTAAAAGAGTTTTAAGCCTCAGCAATTTCCTGCCCATCCTTTTCGCCCTTTTCTATGGAGGGGGAAGACTGAGGGCTAGGAAGCAGCACCTTGCTCTTCCAGCGTTTGTCCTTTCTAGAAACTGGGAAGGGGCGAAGGAGGCCTGTGATAGTGGCCAGCTCCCTTCAGGTTGTCACACATGGCTGTCCACTCCCCGCCTGTCCCCACAGCTCTTCCTGCAGACTCTTTTTCCCAGAAGATCCTGTTAAGATTGTCCGTGGCCAAGGGCAGTACCTGTACGACGAACACGGGGCAGAATACATCGACTGTGTCAACAACGTAGCCCACGGTCAGTATCACACCTCAGGCTGGAGGGGAGCAGGAGAGGAGGCTGAGCCTGTGAATCTGGCCCAAGGTGACCCCAAGGCGGTAGAGGCGTTGGAAAGCCTGTGTTGAGCCACCATTCACGTGCCGGCTATTTGTTGGAGTAGCCGTAGGTCTCCAGGCAGTAGCTGTGCTAAACCAGGCAGGAGGCAGAGCTAGGTGTGTGAATCCAATCCCTCTTGGGACTGTTGAGCTCAGGGAGTGGTTGACGGCCCAGCCATCATCAGCAGTGCAGCCTGGCTCTGGCCCGGTGCAGGGATCATGGCAGGCCTTCAGCACCATTGACCATTTCAGTTGCTGTCAGAAAACCAGAGGTGCTAATGGAGGAAAGGGACGCCGTGATTTAGCAGGCACACTGGAGGAGAATAAGTAGAGGCAAAAAGCCAGGGCTTTAGTTCTAGCTTCTCTGGGCTCACTTACTGTGTGATTTTGAGAAAGTTACTTAATTCTCTGTGCCTGTTTGTTCATCTACACATGACACTAGCCACCCACCTGCAGGGAGGCAGAATGAAGTGTGTTAATTAGTGGAACTCACATTGAACGTGCCTGGCAAGTGGTGAGCTCCAAATACTATCCTTGGCCTTTGGCAATCAAGATTACCTCTGGCCCCCACTGACTGCCGTCACCCTTGAGCCCTGCCATTGCCAAGCAGCAGGCCTCAAAGAGCCTCCTTAAAGACCTGGTTTTCTAGTTGGAATTTCTGCTAGAGAATCTTTTCCTTCTGCTGGAATCTCAGGAACTGCTTTCTAGATCTTTCTTTCCAGAACCATGGTCTCTCCCCTCTGTGTCTGCAGCTTCCCTCTTTCCACCTCTTCCTCCTGCATCTTCCCTGGTGGGGTTTACAGTTTAGGGCTGGGGAGCCCTGGTGGGAGTGGCTAAGTGGAATCGGCATGTGACAGAGGTGGCCCTCTTGCAGTCGGGCACTGCCACCCTGTCGTGGTCCAAGCCGCACATGAACAGAACCAGGTGCTCAACACCAACAGCCGATACCTGCATGACAACATTGTGGATTATGCACAGAGGCTGTCGGAGACCCTGCCTGAGAAACTCTGTGTGTTTTATTTCCTGAATTCTGGGTAAGTGGACTTCGGTCAGCCCCTGGTAAGAGAGGGAGGCCCAAAGAAGAAAGTCACCCCCATGAGTGCACCCAAGCAGGCTTGGGGGAGAGGCTCCCTGCTTCCCAGCTATAGGTCCTGGTGTTCTTTCTGTCAGATCCAGTTTTCCTTCTCTCAGTGAAGGATGCCTACCTTCCAGGATCATTGTTGGGGCTTAACAAGGTAATATGTTCTTTTATTTCTGCCTTATGGATCCAACCTAGTCTCTGCCCTCAGGTTGCTCATTAAGAAGCAAAACATTGTGCCCTGGCTGGTGGCTCACGCCTGTAATCCTAGCTACTCAGGAGGCAGAGATCAGGAGGATATCTGTGGATTGAAGCCAGCCCAGGCAAATAGTTCGCAAGACTCTTGAAAATACTCATCACAAATAGGGACTAGTGGAGTGGCTCAAGATGTAGACCCTAAGTTCAAAACCCAGTATCACAAGAAAAAAAAAAAAGGATCAAGTGATTCTTCAAAGGAATATAAAATTACTACAAGGGACCATTTTCTGGAGGAAGAATCCGGAATAGAATGATACCTAGAAGTGGCAGAGGACCTGGCCTGTCCTGGGGGGTTAGGGAATAACCCTAAAGGATAAGCTTACAGCTCACTAGGAAGTATTTAGACCAGCAGGAGGAAAGGGCTCTGCACTCCACTGGAAGTCTTATCAAGGTTGGTCACCACATGAATAACCTGTGCAAAGGTCCAGTGGTAGGAAGGGGCATGGTACCCTGGCACACTTGAAGAACCAGAAAAGGAATGAGTGTGAGCTGACACTGGGTAGGGAGCCAAGGCTTATCATCCAAGGTCTTAACAGCCAAGTGAGGAAGCTTTTTTTTAGTGTGTGTGGGACTAGAGTTTGAACTCAGGGTTTGGTACTTGCTTTGCAAGTAGTGGATTCCAGTAGTTTCATGTTGCCAAATCCCGTGGCTCCCTCAACCTGTCCTGCAAAACAAGTGCTCTACCACTCGAGCCATGCCTTTGATCCATTTTTTTTGCTCTGGTTATTTTGGGGACAGGGGACCCAGGCTGGACTTGAGCCATGATCATTCTGATCTCAGCCTCCCAAGTAGCTAGGACGCTGGGACTTGCCACCGGGGCTGGCAGGAGAGCTTTTTATTCTAAAAGCATTGGGAAGCTATTAGGGTTTTAATCAGGGAAGTGATGCCATCAGGTTGGGGAAAGCAAGAGCGGGTGCTGTTAGGTGCCAGGTCAGAGGCCAGGCAGGAGGTAATGGTAGCTCAGGCTGAGGAGACAGTGATGGCAGAATCAGGCAGATACCACAGTGCACTGGAGAGCACAGTCCAATAGATCATAAGTAGTGACATTCGGATCATGGCGATGACTCTTGTCATCATTGGCATTTACACGGTGTATTCCCTGAATAACTTACAGGAAGGAGAATTTATCATCTTCATTTTACAGATAAGGAAGTAGCAGTTCAGAGAAAAGAGCTGGCTAGGAGCTGGCAGAGCCTGAACTGGACGCTCTCTGGGAAGAGCAGGGAGCTGGGCACAGGGGTCACTGCTTCCTCAACAGAGGAGGGAGGACCGTTCCTGTTGGCTTCGTCCACCAGGCTCATTCCGTGTGGATTCCAGTAGTTTCATGTTGCCAAATCCAGTGGCCTCTCGTCTTCCTTGCCTGACTCCTCAGGGTTTGGCAGAATCAAAATTCTCTCTAGACATGTTTCTCCTTTTGCTTCCAGGACATCCTGCTCTTCTGGTGTCCCACTGGCTGCCCTAGTCACTCTTCCTGTTCCATGGGGCTGGTCCTGGGCCATTTTTCTCTCTGAGCTCTCTCCTTCTGGGATCTCCTCCATTCCCTTGCAACTAAGTATCATCCATGTGCTGGTGACTTGCTAATTTATATCGTGATCCCAGGTGCCTCCTGAGTCTTCCAGACTCAAGAGGCTAACTGCCCACTTGACAAACATCTCCAACTTTGCATGTCCAAAGACAATCAAGAATTGCCTTCTGCCAACACCTGGTGTGAAGCCATGGTACCGATTCTCTGATGTTCCCAGCCACCAACCCCAGACCTTCCCAAGAAGACTGCCACCCACAACCGTCCTCACACCATCCCACCTTGTAAATGGGATCACCATCTGCGCCTTTGCTCGTGGCAGAAATCACACAGTCCTGAGTCAGTCTTGCCCCATCTATCTCCAGGATATATCTACTCCGTCCACTTCTCCTTCCCCATGTCCACCACCTGTTCCTACTTCACTTCCACCTTCATTCCCTTTAGACACAACCAGAGGCAGCCTTCTAAAATAAGAGCTCAGTCATGTCCTCCTGATTGAAACTCTCCATGGGTTTTGCATGGTACTGAGAACATTCTTTCCCAGACCTGTTAACATGGCCTCTGCTCATGTCCCCACCTTCCTGATCTGCCCTCCTTTGCCCCTGGCCTCCTTTACCTTCTCTCAATTCCCTGACCATACCGAGCTCCTTCTTCCACAGGCCCTTTGTGTATGCTCTTCCCTCTACCTAGGACCTTCTTCAGGACTTGGGGCAGATGTACCTCCTAATAGAGGCATCCCTGATCTCCCGTATTGGTCTGCTAGGGCTGCCATAGCAAAATACCACAGGCTGAAGCAAGAGAAATGTATTTTCTCACCATCCTGGAGGCTGAAATCCAACATCAAGGTTTTCTCTGAGGTCTTTCTCCTTTGTTTGCATATGGCAGCCTTCTCACTGTATCCTTGTATGGTCTTTGTCCTATGCAAAAGTCCCTGTTGTCCCTTTGCACATCCAAATCAGCTCTTCTAAGGACACTAGTCAGAGTGGATTAGGGCTCACCTAAGGGCCTCTTTTCACTTACCTCTGTAAAGGCCTTATCTCTAAGTGTGGTCATATACACAAGCTGTTCCAAGGTCCTAGGCATCAGGCCATGTGCCCCCCTATCTAAAGTGGGGCCCCATCTGGTTCTTTCTCCCTCAGTACCCTATATCCAGTGCTAGCACCTACAAAAATGATCACTCTTTGTCTTCTGGCTTTCATAACACATCAGAAAATAGCTTCTGGATGACTGGGGCCCATCTGGTTTACCTACTATTTTCACCACTAGCTCCTAGCACATAGGAAGAACTTGGTGTTTACTAAATGAGCAAGCAGATGACTGACCGAATGAAATCCTGAGAGTCTTCTTGCTGCTGGAAGAGCTCCTCCTCCATTCGGGGTTTCTCTGCCCTTAGGTTAAGTTTCAGGTCATGCCCATCTTTTCTGTTGTAGGTCAGAAGCCAATGACCTGGCCCTGCGGCTGGCCCGCCAATACACAGGACACCAGGATGTGGTAGTATTAGACCAGTAAGTACAACTCACAGGCCTGCCATTTCCAGAAGCCTGGGCCTACCTGCTTGTTGGGGATCAGAGCGGTTCTGACCTTGGTGCCTTAGGCAAGGAACAGGAGGGCCCTGGACCAGGCCCCAAAGACACCTCCCTGGAAGCAGTCTTCAGGCCACCATTGTGGGTGGGCAGCACCTGGGGAGCAGGGAGCTGGGAGCACTTTTGTAAGGGAAAGTCAGTCCCACAACATTTAGCCGTTCACACTGTTGCAGCTGTCACTTCATGTGTTTAGTATCTGATGTGCACAAAACCCAGGCCCAACTTTGAAGATCAGTGCATGTAAGATTGATTATAACCCTGAAGGAGGACCGCCCACCCCATACTGTACAGAGGACTAAACTGGACCCAGGGAGGCCATGTGATTTAGCTCTGGGACGTGGCCAGTAAGCCTTGAAGGGAGTGTTGCTCACTCCTCAGCCCAAGGACTTGGGGCCTGTGTCAGAAAAGTTGACTACCCCTGTGTGCTATAGTCAGAGGTGGGTCGACAGAGGTCAGAACCAGGCCAGGGACTATGTGCCATCCGGGCTTGAGTCCACCTTCCTCTTCCCCCCAGTGCTTATCACGGTCACCTGAGCTCCCTGATCGACATCAGCCCCTACAAGTTCCGGGACCTGGATGGACAGAAGGAGTGGGTCCATGTGGTACGCACTGCCCATGTCAGCAACAGGCTGGTGCCCACCCCAAGCCGGGATGACATGGTGCTGTCACTCCCTACAGGCACCTCTCCCAGACATCTACCGGGGCTGCTACCGAGAGGACCACCCCAACCCAGCTGAGGCCTATGCCAACGAGGTGAAACGTGTGGTCAGCAGTGCACAGGAGAAGGGCAGAAAGGTAACCACACCCACATCTCTCCAGTCCAGTGAATATCACCTCTACTGTTTTTAGATGTTGGGAAACCAGAGAACAGAACAAGGCTTTGACCTTCTGGAGTCTAGGGGGAGAAGGGCTGGTTAAGTGCCCAATAGAGAATTTGAGTACACTGGAGCTTAGATAGAGGTATATCTTGGGCATTGTGGGTGTCCAGGGGTCCATGCTGGACATGGGTAGATGTCAGGCAGGGTCCTTGGAGGAGATGCCACCTAATCTCAGTAGTAAAAGGTGAGTGGGAGTTAGCTGCTCCAGGCAGGTGGGTGCAAGAGAGGAAAGGGCTCCAGAGCTGGGGTGGCCTGTGCCGAGGGAGGACCATGAGAGGACTGAGCAGGTCAGAAGGCAGAACTAGAGAGGCAGGCAGGATTCATAAGCCAGGGGCCCCTGGAGACCATGGGCACCACTGAAGGTCCTAATCAATGGGATGAGCAGAGCCAGCGCTCACACTCAGGCTGTGTGCAAGATGGATGTGAATGGCACAGCCTGAGGGCAGAGACCATGTGGAAGCTGTGTTGGGTCCCAGTGAGCAATGGAGAGGCCTGACCAGGGTGGTATGTGGAGAGAGAGGCAGAGGAGAGACGCCCATACCCGGGAGAACAATACCTACAGAGACTAAATAGAGGGGGCTGTTAGCGTCTAGGGTGAGGGACCTTTGGAAGACCTCACTGTAGGAGGGACAGGCTAAACATAGAATGTATGGCAAAGAAAAGCAGGCTGTGGGACCAAAAGATTGGCAGACCAGGGGAGCCTGCCTGTGGGTCTCAAATGCTCTGCAGCCACTTCTGTGGAACCAGGAAAGAGCGCTGCTCTGGTACAGCAGGGGGCTACTTGACCGACCATCCCACATCCCCGCAGGGGCCTCTGCAACATTTGGGGAATCACTGCTTGCCCAAAGGGGTTATCAAGGACTCCTTTAATCAGGACAGCAACAAACTCACTCTCTGGGTTGATGTGTCACTCCAGAAGCCATGGGAGAGAGGGACAGAAGGAGGTGTCCAGTTGGATGGCATCTGCAGGAGGCCAAGGCAGGTCTGCAGCCAGGTGCAGAGGATACAGTAGGTTGCGAGATGTGACAGAGACAGAGATTTGTGGGCTGTGTGCAGGATTGATCAATGAGGGCTGGTGTAGACCAAGGAAGCCACATTTCTGTCAGGGAGGAGGAGAGAGGTGCTAGTCACCAGAAACAGGACAGGGAAGGAGCAGGCAGTGAATTTAGTTTGGGCATGCTGAGTTATAGAAGTATGGAGGCATTGGTAGTAAGAGTCCCAGCCTCAGATGTGGCATGCAGCCCAAGGGAAGGACACCACAGTGACAGTGACTTGACCTGCTTGGGACTAGCAGTGAGGCAGCATTAGTAAGGAGGTGAGCTGCTTGTGGCACTCCTGATGTCTGTCCCATCCACAGATTGCGGCCTTCTTCGCTGAGTCTCTGCCCAGTGTGGGCGGGCAGATTGTTCCCCCTGTGGGCTACTTCGCCCGTGTAGCAGAGTGAGTAGGTGGGTGGGGTCTGCCCCAGGGAGGGTAGGCTATAATTGGGTTTCCCAAACTCTGTTCCAAATTCCAACCACAGCCTGGCCTGCTTGCCAGAATTTTTTTTTAAACAAATCCCTTAAAGAAGTAATGCCTCCCCGCAAAAGAAAATAATGACCCAGAAAGGACAGCCATTTGCCTATCCCCCTCCCCCACTATGACTGCTGGCAGGGCTAGGATTCAGAGCCCCATGACCTCCCACTTATGAATTGATCCCTCTCCACACAACCTCTCTGTCACCATCTGTCCTCTGCCACAGGCACATCCACAGGGCTGGAGGGGTCTTCGTCGCAGATGAGATCCAGGTTGGCTTTGGCAGAGTAGGCAAGTACTTCTGGGCCTTTCAGCTGCAGGGGGACGACTTCATCCCTGACATTGTCACCATGGGCAAGTCCATTGGCAATGGCCACCCAGTTGCCTGTGTGGCCACCACCCAAGCTGTGTCAAGGGCATTTGAAGCCACGGGAGTCGAATACTTCAACACGGTGAGTGTGCAGGCTCTGCGCAAGGGAGTGTCACGCGCTCTGCTAGGCGCAGGCCTCGGGCTACCCTGCTCCCGCACCAAGACCACAGGGAGGCTACAGCCAAGTCAGGTTTTTTTAAATGCTGTAAAACATCTTTAAAAATTAGTGGCAATCCGCCAGACGCTGGTGGCCCACACCTGTAATCCTAGCTACTCAGGAGGCAGAGATCAGGAGGTTTACAGTTTGAAGGCAACCAGGGCAAATAGTTGGTGAACCCTATCTCGAACAGTCCTTCACAAAAAAGAGATGGTGGAGTGGCTCAAGGTGTAAGTTCTGGATTCAAACCCCAGTGCAACAACAAAAAATGTGTCAATCCAAAAGCTGTCACAAGAGACTGTGTTTGTCTTATAAAACATGCATAGAGAGAATGTCAGAGGCCCTCTTCTTCCAGCAGAAGCTGTCTACTGTGTGCCAGGCCGTGGCAGGTCTGGACCCAGAGAACAGCACCTCTCTGGTGAAGTTGTTGTAGGGGTTTGGTCTGTTTAGGAGACGGATGGTCCAGGAGCAGAGTTAATGTCACAGCATAGCCGACAGAAAAACATGGTTCCCTATCCTCGGTATACAGGGTCAAGAGCATTCCCTGAGTGAGTCTGACACACAGCATGGTTAGTGGCTGTGAGACAGAAGGTGCACGGTGAGCATGGTAGCCGGCAGGGCCTTGTCTTGGAAAATGGAGTAGTCCTGATGGCAGGGGAACCATGCAAGGGGTTTTTGCTTTGCTTTGGTTTTTGTTTTGGTTTGCGGTGCTGGCAGCAAAGCCAGGCCCTCACACATGGGAGCAAGCCTTCCCCCACTGAGCTACACTCCCCATAGGAAGGTTTCAGTCATGGAGAGATGAGCTCCGAAGTGTCCTCAGGAAAGATCTGTGGTGACTATCACAGAGAAAGAACTGGATATTGGGAGATGGTCAGGCAAGAGAGGACAAGGCTCAAATCTGTGCTCAGGCCACCAGGAAGAATAGGAAAGTACAGAATTGATTCCTGCCCCCAAAAGAGTCAATCTGAATTAGACGCAGAAATATGTCAGGAGTTGGCAAGGTGGACAAGGCAGAGAAGGTCATTAACAGTGAGGGAAGTAGCCAGGTATGGTGGTATATATATGCCTGTAATCCCAGCTACTTAGAGGCAGAAGGATTGAAAGTTCAGGGCCAACCTGGGCAAAAAGTTAGTAAGATTCTATCTCAAAAGCAAAATACAAATGAAAGTGCAAGTGGCAAAGCACTTCCCTAGCAATTGTGGGGTCCTGAGTTCAATCTCCAGAATTTGGGGGTGGGGTGGAAAAAAGGAAGTGACATTTTGGCTGGTGCTTTCCACAAACTGCAAACTGTCACCCTGTGCTTGGGTGACACAGAACCTCTACCCTGGACAAGCTCACTGTCAGGGCAAGACGGACTTATAGACACAACTGAGATATGGCTTAATGAAAGTGAAGAGTTCATGGTGCTGGTGCCTTGAGAGCAGAAGGGACACCCCAGGAGGGAGGTAGGCACAATGCTGCAGGGACACGTGGTGGAGAGGTCACATAGACGGTGAGACCAGGGCAGAGTCTACAAGGATGAGCAGGAATTAGGCGGGTGAAGAGGAAGGCGTGTTACATGAAAGACGAATGACCCTGGGGAGCTAGGTCTTGTTTTTGCTTATTTCTTTGTTGTACTGAAGCATCAAGTAAACTAAATATAATCCTCTGCTCAGCCCTCTTCTAGTTAACCACTTACTTGGTTACTTTTGTTAACTCCGAGAAAGCCATCCTAAGTAAAAGTTAGGCCCTTGATGACAACTGGCATTTGTCTTAAGTTATCCCCAAACCCATCATCCTCCTCACTGAATGCCACATTCATTGTTGATTCTGGTTGATTTTTCACTTAGTTGAAGTCTGTCGTGCTGTATATGCTCTGGGGATTTTGCACCTAACGTTAATGTTACAAATCATCACACTGCTTGTCACCGGAGTGTAACTGCTTTGTAACAGTCGTTGTGTAAATGTACCATGACTTATTCATCCATTTCTGCTGATGTGCTTTGAGGTGGCTCAATGTTTTCAGTGATGTGAACAGTGCTGCCGTGAACAATTTTTATTTGTTCTACAAGTGCAAGCGTGAAGAATTAACCTGAGTAGAATTGTTAGTTCATAGGGTGCATGTCTACCCTCAATTTCAGGAGCTAATGACATCTGTTTCCCAAGTTCACAAGTTGACACCCCTCACCAGCACTGCACATCCTCATCAAGTGCATTTGTTTTTGCCAGTCGACGGGGGCAGTGTAAAACAGTAGCTCAGGTGGTCTCAATTTGCTCCTCCTGGATCGCAAGTTATGTAAATAGTCTTTTTTTCTTTTCTTTTCTTTTTTGAAAGTGCTGGGGTTTGAACTCAGGGCCTCACACTTGCTAGACAGGTGCTCTGCCACTTAAGCCACTCCACCAACCTTTGAAGCATCTGTTCGTATGTTTATTGGCCACAGATTGTGTCTTCTGTGAAGGGCTGATGGTGTGTTTTGTTCTTTTTCCTTGTGGGAGTTCATGAGTCTGTGTGTGTGTATGTGTGTAAACCTCCACATATTCTTGATACTAATCCACTGTCAGTTGTGTATATTGTGGATATGTCCATCCAGTTGATAACCACTCTTTTCACTCCTTTCATGGACTTTTATATTGTCAACTCTTATCAGTCTTTTATAGACTTTTAAAATTTATTGTGTAAGAAATCTGTCTATTCCAAGAACTAAAATATGTTCATAAATATTTTTAAGTATTTTAACATTTCATTTTGACATATAGGTCCTTAATCCGAGTTGATTTTCATATAGGGCTATGATCAGGAATCATGTAGTATTTTTTTCATCTTCCTTTATCCTCCATTGATATTACATCACCTGTGTCACGCAACCAGAGTTCATGCATGAGTGGATCTGTTTCAGGGTATTTCTACTGTTAGGGCCAATCTGCCTATCTGTTCCTGTAGCACGTCACTTTATTTACTGTTATGAGCCTCATAATAGAATGAGTTATCTTTAAACAGTTTATGAAAAACCCTGTTGAGATTTTGATAGGGGAGTTACTTATCTGTAGATTAATTTGCAATATTAAATCTCCTATCTAGGAACATGGTATATACCTTTCCATGGTTTCAATTTTTCCCTATAAAGATTTATTGCTAGATGCTTAACATTCTGTATCATCATAAACAGTGACTTCTCTTTACCTATGTACAGTCTGCTGCTGGCATGAAAAACATAGACTTATGTATGCTAATCGCTCAATCCTCTTTCTAGACTTTTCTATTATTTCTAATAATTTATAGGCAGACTTTTTCTCTATGTTAAAAATATTTTTTAAGATAAAAATGACTTTTTTTTTTTGGTGTTTTGAGAGAAGGTTTCACTGTCTGGCTTTGAACTTGTGATCCTCTTGCCTCAACCTCCCAAGTGCTGAGATTACAGATGTGTACCACCACACCCAGCTAATGTAAAAATCTTATCTCTTTTTTTTTAAGAGAATGGTGGCAAACTTTATTAGCAAAGAAAATCCTAACAAGATGAAACTAGGAAAAATGGGGAAAGGGGAGAAATATTTCCTACTCCCCATGCAGGAAATGGGAGTAAAGACTCAATTTAACTTCTTTGTAAGTTACGTTTCAGTCAGTTTGAGCTGTCATAACAAAGTACCACAGACTGAGTAGCTCAAAAATACATACATATGTACTTCTCACAGTTCTTCAGGCCGGAAGTCTAGATCAGGATGCCAAAGTGGTTGGGTTCTGGGGAGCATCCCTCTTTTGGGTTGCAGTTGACTTTCCATACCCTTACATGGTGGGAAGAGCAAGAGAGTGCTCTGGGGTTCCTTTAATAAAGATCAAATCCCATTCTTAAGGTACTGCCCTCATGATCCAATCATCTCTCAAAGGCCCTACCTCTTAATACCATCACATTGGGGGTGAGGATTTCAACAAAACATTCAATTCATTCTAAGTTATAGGACTGTTAATGTTTTTATTATACTTTTTGTGCTTTCTCCCCTCCTCATGGGACTCCCGTTTGTGTTAGTCTGCTTGACTGTGTCCACAGGTTATAGGGTTCTGTTCTTTTCTTGGTTTTGGTTTTGAGATGGGGGTCTCACTGTTGCTCCACCTGGTCCAAACTCCTGGGTTCAAGCAATTCTCCTACCTCAGCCTCCTGAGCAGCTGGCACTACAGGTGTGGGCCACCACATCAAGCTTTTTTCTCTCTTGTGTGCAGACCATACAATCCCAAATGACATACTTTGAGTTTGCAGATTCTTTTGTCTGCTCCAATCTAATGAACCTCTAGTGGATTTTTCCCTTGTTACTGTTGCTTTTTTTTTTTTTTTAACTTCAGGTTTTTCCATTTTGTTCTTTTTTTGCTTCTTTATTGGTAGTCTGTTTTGGTGAGTCTACATTTTCAGTTTTTACCTTAAGTTTTGGATGTTCTTATAATTACAACATCTAATTCAAAATTTCTAACAAAGTCAACATCTTGGCTTCCCTGTTGTTTGTACTGCTTGCTTCCCCACCCCCTAACCCCCCCCCCACCCACTATATGGGCTGTACTTTCTTCTTTCTTTGCGTGTTTCATGATTTTCTGTTGAAACTGTAATGTTTAAATAATGAGACTTTGGAAATAATGTTTTCCTGCCCCCGCCATGCTGTTTGTTCAGTGCTTTTTTGAACTAATTCTGTAAAGTCTATGTCTTTGACATATCCCACAGCACTGGGCATGCCCTCTAGATTCTCAGGAATCTGACAGAGCTTTTTAAAACCCCTGCAGTCATCTCATTCCTCAGCTTTTCAAGTTTTTTTTTTTTTTTCCTGTTTTTTGTTGATGCTGTTGTTGTTTTGTCAATACTGGGGTTTGAACTCAGGGCCTTCAGGCTTGCTAAAGCAGGCACTCCACCACTTAAGCCACTCAATCAGCCTTTTGTGATGGGTTTTTTCGAGATAGGGTCACCCAAACTATTTGCCTGGGGTGGCTTTGAACCATGATCCTCCTGATCTCTGCCTCCTGAGCAGGTAGGGTTACACAAGACTTTTGATCAGCCTGTTGTTGGTCCCAATGTTTATCCACCTATTCAGGTAGCCACCAATGTTAAGCAAATGCCTCTGATTGCCTCAATAAATACCCCCAGAGAAAAGACTGTTCTCCACTGGGCAAGGTCCAGTGGCAAATCAATTTCCCCCTTCATATGAGGTCTTCCAGGAAACCGCCAGGGAGGTCAAATAATGACAAGTTGTACCCAAATGGCACTTTGAAGAAGCTGCAAATCTATTCAGTGCTAAGACTCTAACTTCCTGAGTTTGAAAAAGTTGATTTTTGCTAGTATTATTGTTGCTTTTTCTTTTGGAGGGGGGTTACTAAAGTTTGAACTCAGAGCTTTGCCTTTACAAAGCTGGTGCTCTACCACTTGAGCCACACCTCCAGTCCTCTTTGCTCTGGTTATTTTGGAGATGTGTCTCCCAAACTGTTTTCTTGGGCTGATCTAGAACTGCATTCTCTCGATCTCAGCCAACCAAATATTAAGGACTACAGGCATGTTGCTTTTATGGAGAATTGTGGTGGGGGGATGTGTAAAGAGGCCTTATTCTGCCATTTTCACTGATTCTTGGCTTTTTTTTTTTTTTTAAATGCAATGAGGTAGGTCATCTTTTTTATAATTCCAGAGATTTGGCTCTATTATATCTTCAACTGTTGTAACTATTCAATTTTTCTCCTTCCAGGACCCCTATTACCCAAATGTTAGCACTTCCACTTGTCTTCCATATAGCTGTTTTTTCTGTTTCCTTCCTTCTGGGAATTTTCTCAACCTGCTCTCCTGTGTCTATCCTGTCATTCCCAGTCTATTGAAATTATTTATCTTTTGTGGTGGGGGGGATTGACTCAAGCACTCTATCACTTGAGCCACACTCCCAGCCCCTTTCCCATCTATTCTTTATTTCAACTATTGTGTTTTTCAGTTTCATATTTTACCTGTTTTCACAGTTTAATGTTGCTAACATCTTCCCTTATGTTTTAGCCTAATAAGACTTTTAAATTCTCGTCATTCTTTTCTTACAGTTCTACTTCAGATAAAATTTGTTATTCAGTGTGGTGTTTCCTTTTGAAATCATTGTCTTCTTCATATGCCTTGCCATGGGAGTCCATTTATGGGCTGTGTCATTGCTTGAAGGAAGGCTGGACAGATCCCACCCACTGGGGATCATGAGGGATCAGGACTGTGAGTCACTGCAAGGAGTGTGGGGGTAGGGTCACAAAGAAAAATAAGGACCGGGGACATAGTTCTGAATTCAAACCCCAGTACTGCAAAAAGAAAAGACATGAAACGGTTCCTATCTTAACTTCCCCTGCCATTGCTGGACTGCTTCCTGCCTCAAGCCACCTCAGGTTTTCCCGGTTTTCTTTCTTTTTTGGTTGTTGTTGCCCAGGCCATGATTCTAAACTAAGGATGTTAAACATCCTCCCTACCTCCCAAGGGCTGGACTAGAGCCAGGGACTTGTGTGTGCTAGCCAAGTGCTATACCCGTAAGCTATACCCACTCCCTTAAATACAAACTTAGCATCCATAAGCCAAAAACCAGGAATCTGAACTCTCTGAAATCTGAAACTTGTTCCCCCCCCCCTTGGCGGTACTGGGGTTGTTCTGAACTCAGCCTCATACTTGCACTGTACCACTTGAGCCATGCCCCCAGCCCTGAAATCTTAACTGTCACACTGACACTCGAAAAGTTCTCAGTTGCTGGGCTTGATGGAATATGCCTGAACACCGCAATACTTAGGAGCAGAGGAAGGAGTATCACAAGTGTGAGGCCAGCATGGGCAACTCAAAAGAATGACTGGAGGTGGAGCGAAGTGGCAGGGTGCTTGCCTAACATGCAGTGACCTTAGGTTCAATAGCCAATTCTCCTGAACGAGTAAGACTGATGATGCCACAAGTTGAGGATGTGGAGCAACTGGAATCTCATAGACTTGGTTTTTCAACCAAGTTGAAAAAGTTTCAGTTTATAAAGTCAAACATACAGTTACTCAACAGCTCGGGTTTTTTTGTTTTTTTGCAGTACTAGGATTTGAACTCAAGGTCTACACTTTGAGCCACGCCACCAGCACTTTTTTGTGATGGGTTTTTTCGAGATAGGGTCTCACAAACTGTTTGCCCAGGGTTGGCTTCAAACCACAATTCTCCTGATCTCTGCCTTCTGAGCAGCTAGGATTACAGGCATGAGGCACTGGCACCCAGCAACCCAACAGCTCTTACTCCTAGGTACTTACCTAAGAGAAATACGAATATAGGTTTTACAGAAGGCTGTGCATAAATATTCATAGGCGTTTTATTCATAACCACCAAAAATCAAAATAAGGGTCCCCAACAGAATGGATAAAACAAATAATGGTAGATTTAAACAATGGATTATGCAACAATTGCAACCAATGATAATTGTAACAGTATGGCTACATTAAAAAAACATGTTGGACAGAAGAAACCAGGCACAAAAGGGTACATATCCTGTGATTCAACTTACATGGCATTTTAGAAAAGGCAAAGCTATATAATTGACAAAAAGGTCAGTGATTACCAGGGCCCAGTGTTGGGAGGGTGGGGATGGGAGTACAAGGAGCTTTGGGGAGTGAGAATCCACTGTAGCTTCATTGTGGAGGAAGTTCCTGGGGAATATACATCTGTCACAGAGCATTCAACTTGAAACATAAGTTGTATGTAAATTGTTTCTCAGTAAAGCTGATTTTTAAAAAAAACATGTAGTCTTAAAAATACATGGTCTGCCAGTGGCTCATGTCTGTAATCCCAGCTACTCAGGAGGCAGAGATCAGGAGGATCAAGGTTCAAAGCCAGCTTGGGCAAATAGTTCACAAGACCCTATCTCGAAAAACCCTTCACAGAAAGGGCTGGTGGACTGGCTCAAGGTGAAGGCTCTAAGTTCAAGACCTAGTACCGCCAACAAAAAAAAAAAAAAAAGGGGGGGGGTGTCTCTTGCTCCTGACCTTTAAAACATAGGATCCTACTCACAACACACATGGAGCCAGGCTGGTCAACAAAGTAGACCAAAGCACCTGAAAGGAACCACCCATGGGTATAGCCAGATAGGCCAGGTTTGTTTATGTCAGAAATAGACTTGTGTGAAGTCTCTCACTTTTAAATGTTAGCACCCAATTCACAATTTTTAAAAATGTCACACAAGTCAAATAAAGTGAGTCCACATGACAGATGTGGCTTCCAAGCAAACAACTTGTGGTGTGTCTACACCCTAAAATCTTCCATGGGCTCAGCCAACAGAGCCATGGATTTGTATCACCCAGTGGCTTTTATAGGGTAAGCTTTGGCAGTCTATCACTGACTCTCCTTGGAGGTGATGGGCCAGCCCCATGCTGTGGGTGTGGCCCTACCAACGAAAGTAGCTGAGGGAACAACACACAGTGCACCCTCCTCTGGTTCTGCATCTTGTAGGGGCTCCTGCTGCAGTCCTGGCAGTTACCCAACCTGGGTTTTAGTCATGCGAACACTTCTGAAGTGGGACAGCCTACAAGATTCCCAGGAGGACTCAGCTCTGAGGTTTAGGGCCTGTGTTCCTGTCACTGCCCTTGTAATGTGTGGCAATTTGGTGTATAGAGTATGGCCCATTCTGCTGGGTGTCTGACATGCCCATTGTCCCTTGGCTTAGTTTGGTGGCAGCCCGGTATCCTGTGCTGTGGGGCTGGCAGTCCTGGATGTCTTGGAAAAGCAGCAACTCCAGGCTCATGCTGCTTGTGTGGGCAGTTTCCTGATGGAACTCCTCAGACAGCAAAAAGCCAAACATCCCATCATCGGGGATGTCAGGTGAGGTTCCAGGGGCAGGAGCCACCACCCCCTAATCAAGCACCTGCCTCGGTGCAAATGCCATTCTCTTCCTTCACCTCCTAACCTGGAAGAACCGAGAAGTGCTGCTGCCCAACATAGTACTTTCTAGGGAGCGACACATCTCTGATTCAATCTGAGCTCAGGGTAACCCCCAACCTCTTTCTTCTGTCAACACCACCCCAGGGCCTTCTCCCCTCCCAGTTACTCACTGGAACACACAACACACACCCGTGGCACAGGGAGAAGACAGGTAGTTCCAGCAGCGGAACTTGGCTTAGGCTGCTTAGAGCAAGCGTGTGAAGACAGTGGCCTCCTGGGCATGGCCTAAAGATGCCACCTTCTCCTCCAGGGGCTCTGGGCTCTTCATTGGTGTGGATCTCATCAGACATAAAGCCATGAGGACACCAGCAACTGAAGAGGCTGAATACCTGGTATCAAGGTATCATTTTTTTTTTGAAACATGTTGCTTTCCGGAGTAAGCAGCACTGTGGGTGCTGAGTGGGAGGGTACCTCCAGTACTGGCACTGAGTGGTGGAGGCAGTTGTTTAAGCACCACTCCTAGGCTCCCAGAACAGAACACGGCTCTATTAGTTCTTGCCAGCACCTGGCAGCAGACTTACCAGCCCAAGGTAGCCTCAGCTGCGAATTCCAAACCCAGCTGGATGGTCAGACCCAGGCAGTCCTAATGCTGACATCAAGGGCTGGAAAGCTAAGTGGCTTCCCCACATCCACACTTGAGAGCTGTGGCAGAAAGCTGCTGGGATGAACAGGACACCTGCATCCTCTTCGGGCTAACACGTATCTAGATGAGTCAGTAGGCCTCAGGGATCACTCCACCAGCTGCCCGGTTTGCATGTTTCTCACTTGAACCCCAGGCAGGACCTGAGACTCAAGACTATTCCTTTGTCCCTTTCATCTCCATTTCCCATTTCACCTTCCCCCACCATGGAAAACCCCGCTGGTGTTTTGAGTGTGGTTTTATTTTAAATTGTGTAGCATGCATAGTCTTGTGTGCTAATTCACCTATCTTTTGAGTGTTTCTTTTTTAGGGTACTGGGACTTGAACTCGGGGCCTCCTGCTCACTATGGCAGGAACTCTACCACCTAAGCCAGTTCCACCATATCCCCGCCCCTAATCTTTTCATTTAAATCTTACTCTCAAACTGTTTGCAATTGGCCTAGCCTCAGTGGCCAGCTAGCCTCAACCAGCTCACCCACCCTTCTCCCACTGAGCCTGAGACAGATGTTTTACTTACAGTCATACTGCTAGCAAAGCTGATTTGACCCCACCAAACCTTATTCCTTCTGGCACATTGTCAGTGCCTAAAACAAAGTAGACCGGAGACAACTTAGAAGCCAAAGACATACCCCACCCTAGCCCATCTCCTGCTAAAATTTTAAAAGAATGTAAATACAATCTTATCAGATCCTTGTTAGTGGCTAATACCTAACCTAAGTGGAATATATATATGGAGCCAAGCATGGCACTGTATTCCTATCTGTAATACTAGCACCCAGGGGGCCAAAGCAGGATTGTGTGTTCAAAACCAGACTGGTCACACAGTGTGACCCTACCTTAAAAAGAGGGTAAATGTGGAATGATACTTTTAGGTATAATAATGTTGAGGACAGTTACCCTAGTAAGAATGGGAAATTAAAGTCTTGTCTGGCCCTTGCAAGGTACCTTGGGGGACAGGGGCAGAGGTTACTGAAACTTTTACCTAGCTTCATACATTCAATTTGTAATATTGGCCATTTTCTATTTTAAAAAAGAAATACACATAACCTTGAGCCAAGCTGATTAAATCCTTAAAAGGTCATGCAAAGAGTGCTGTTCCTACAGGCTAAAGGAAAACTACATTTTGCTGAGCACTGATGGTCCTGGGAGGAACGTCCTGAAGTTTAAACCCCCAATGTGCTTCAGCCTGGACAATGCCCGATATGTGGTGGCAAAGTTGGATGCCATTCTAACAGGTGAGCTTGGAGCCCGAACAACTGATCAGGTACCTAGAATCCAACCTGGAGTCAAGCATGAGAGCCTAACAGCTGAACCAGGAGACCCATTGGACAGTACATGCCCAAGCAAAGGGTCCCTTCTTGAAGTCTGGGTGAGTAGGAACCAAGCCCCAATACTGCATGCCTTGACAAGCACCAGTGAAAAGACCTGAGACCAGTCATCAAAACATCAATCTGATACGGTGGCACATACCTATGATTCCAACATCTGGGAGACTAAGTAATACTGCAAGTTGGAGGCAGTCTGGGCTACCTAGAGACCTGATCTCAAAGAATACAGTGGGAACCCAAACCTGGTTTTTGTGCTTAAGAATACTGGAGGCAGGTGCTTCATTCCATGCTTGAAGCACTCCAAGCTGCTAAGTGGCTAAAGTGAGATTTGCACTGAAAACTGACTGCAATGAAATTCTCCCCATATTTCTAAATCACTTAGGAAGGTCAAGATAAGCCCATTGTCTCCCCCCTAAATCTTACAGGGAAAATCAACCAAACTAGACATGAGTGTGCACTGGGATAACGTGCAAAACTCAGACCACAAATAGGCAGAAATCATTGTCTCATGGTAGAGGTCAGAGCAACCAGCAAGCAAACCTTCTTTGTTCCTCTTAAGTCACCTCATTGATGACCACAGATGCACTTAAGCATGGGGCTCTGGCAGAAGCGTGTATTTGTGCAGAGCCTGGAGGAGTGAAGGCTGGCTTGCCACAGAACTGGTTTAGGGATCCTAGACATGGCTGTGCTTCCAGAAAATTGCCAGACCATCTGTGTGTGTAAAGGGACACTGAAGGCAGGTGGGGTAACTTTACGGTCTCTTTCAGATATGGAAGAAAAGGTGAGAAGTTGTGAGACGCTGAAGCTCTAGCCCTATGTCACAACTGAGTCAAGCATTCTCTCCAGGTGAGTGAGCCTTGTTTCTTGCTCTTAGGACACCTAGAGATGCTTCCTTTTCATCAGTAGTAAGTATCCTCCACAAGTAGAGCTTTACAAAATATTCTCCTTCTGAGTGATGACCCCTGTTCTCTGGTTATAGTTTCTTCAGCCACCTGGTGGCTGGTGTGAAAGAAAATTCACCAAAGATGTGGAACCTGTGGTTATGCCTGGCAGGATGTTCTCCAGAGACAGAGAAAATAGAACACAAAGTGTTAGCTCCAAAAGTTCAGTGGCCAAGTCCTTCTTCCAAGCTGCCACCAAGATTGTTATCAGTAGCTAAAGACCCTTGCTATGGGAGGAGGTCCTAGTCCTACATCATCAGGCACCTCTACTCTGGGCAACACACATAGCCCACACTCACCCAGGCTTGGGGGTTTTTAAAATTTTTATTTCAAAAGCTTGGATAGCTTCAATATCCAGGTCGTGGCAAAATCAGGACACGTGTAAAATACCTTACAATACATTAGATTCCCAAAAGGTACCAAAAAGTACAGTAAAATTAACACTTCCATTACAGGAAATGTATGACACAAATAATATAAAATTAAAAGGTGAAAAAAGGTGACACTGGTTCCAAGATGCAGTTTACTCTTTACACCCAGGGTCCACAGGTCCAAGCTGCAGAGAGGCAGCAGGAAGCAGACCCTCTAATCTGGTTCTGGGTAACCTGGTAATAAAATCAGCCCCTAATGCCGCTCTGGCCTCGAGACACCACACGCTGCCTACAACAACTAGAGCTCTGGAAATAGTAAACAGGAGAGTGATTTCCAAGGGGAAAATTTTAAATAAGATGCACATGGGACAGGCCATAGAAAGTTTGCAAAGTTAAATTTGGTACATAATTGTGTTCACTCCGTATCCAAACAAAGCGTGTGCGGTCGTCAGTCGGCCGCTCCTGCTGCCGCCTCAGTATGGCTTGTAGTTATTCTGATGGCCACCACGTCGCTGGCTCTTCCCGTAATTTGTACTACCCTGACCTAGGGACAAGAACAACGTAGCAGCTACTACTTACTGAGCATTTTACCCTGTGCCAGGCGCTTGACAGGTTTCTCACAGGATCCTCAACAATCCTGTACGGTAGGAATCACTTTCCCCCGTGCTAGAGCTCCATCCAGGAACTCCAGTGCCAGGCCTGTCTGCCTCCAAAGCCCCTGCTGCCAGCGGCCTCTGCACTGTCTGACCTGCCTCCCCTGGGGGGGAGTGGATGGGGCCTCCCTCTCCTACTTACTGTAGTCGTAGCCGGGGCCGTAGCCGTAATAGCCATAGGGCGAGTAGTCGTAGCCGCCATAGCCGGGCCCGTAGCTACCAGTGTAGCCCTGCTGGTAGCCGTAGCCCTGGTTCCAGTAGTTGCCGTAGCCCTGATTCCAACTCTGACTCTGACCTGTGGGGGGAGCAGGGCACAGGGGCCCGTGGACCATTTAGCACACGCAGGAGCTAGGATGGAGGAAATCCTGCCCTTTGGGTGGCGGGGGTTACTATGGCAACTCAGGTAGAAGCCAAGGGGCTACTGTTCTGTTGTAGAAGGCCCTGGGCCAGCCCTTCACCTGAGATCCTATCAGGAGGCCAGGATGCTAACTTCACTTGGAGTCCAGGTAGCTTAATTACTCAAATCACCCCCACCCTTCTTGGCAGCTTGGCCTTGAAAAAGATGCAGTTCAGGCTTTGGAGTCAGAGGGGCCTGGGATGGAAGGAGGTAAGCGCCTGGCACAGCTTTGCCTTTTTGCCCACCCACCCATGGGTGTACCAAGATTTGAGGACAGCCACAGAGCCAAGCACAATTCATCATCCCTCCTACCCACCGCCCAATGCAATGCAAATGCTCCCTCTGCGCTGGGGGCCCAAGCAGAATGAGAAAGACTGAGCTCTTCTATTCCACGAGTCATAGCAGCACAAGCACACAGCCTCCACCCAGGAAAACCATTTCTGGTCCTGCCCTGACTCCACTTTACACACTGCCGGCCCACTCCTACTATACAGAACACCAGAGGCAGCCCCAAGACAGGCACGGAAGGCTCCTTGCAGGCAGGGAAACAGACCCATCTTCATCCAGGTTCCACTTACCTCCACCTCCACCACTGCCTCGGTTCCCTCGGTTGCGGTTTCCACGGCCCCCAGAGCCATACTGCTGCTGCTGATAGACCTCTTTGGGCTGGGCCACCTTGATTTCACACTAAAAGCCAAGAGGACAGTGGGTCAAGCCTGTGAGACAAGCTCAGGGCAAGGGCTGCGCACAAAGGCCTTCACTGTAACATTCAGATGATAGATCTGGTCCATCTGCTGAAAAAACAGTATGCTGGGGAAAGAAGTCACGTTTGAGCTACAAGCTCCTGGAACTACAACTAAACACCAAGCATTTAGGGGGCAGCAGAGCAGATAGGTGAGCTGTAGCCCAGGAGAAATACACCACAGAGGGTGGACAGGCTGACTGCACCTTGGTCCAGGGCAAGAGGGTCATGAGGGTAGTAGTCAGAAGATTTTCACTTTTCTTTTTTCTTTTTTCAGAAAATACTCATCCCACTCAATACTCTATTGAGACCCTGACCACCACCTTACAGATAAAGAAAAGTCTTTCAGGCTCAAGGTGGGCTTTGCCTGAGGCCGCACTGCCACCTACCAAGCATTGGTCTACTGTTGAGATAGGCGACCTGTCTGCAGCCCAGCAGGGTCAGATTTCCTTTCTGCCCAAAAACTTGGGAGGTGGGGGTGGGGCAGCTAACAAGCACTTCTGCTTAAATTAGTATAAAATGTCTTTAAGGAAAATAGCAAAAAGTAACACTTTACACATTGTGTCCTCATACAAGTATGCTCTTAACTGCTATTCCTACCACATGATACATACGCCTTACGTTTTCTACCCTACTGAATTAAAAATACTGAATACAACTAACTGAATACACTTATTTCCAAGACCCACCAGCAGCAGTCCCACAAAAACACTGCCTTAGAGGTTCTTCCTGCTACTACATGTCAGGGCACAGAGAAAAAAAGGCCTTTCAACGTCACTGTTTATTGGAGTAACAAAAGCCCCCACCCAACTGCCTGTTTTACAGAACATTTCAAGAGCCTAAACCCTAATCCAAGCTTTCTCAACTGCCAACCAAATGGGACAGAGGCTTCCTGAAGCCCTGCCCTACCTGTTCCATCTTATCTGGCCACCATTGCAGCTCAGGCACTGAATGTACCACACCCAGCCACCACAGGCCACACCTTCAACTCTGCTAACTGCCAACCTGAAAGTACTTTAGGCTCCACCAGAATTCAGGGTAGGAGGTATACCTCATTGCATGCCAACTCCACATTTGAAGGCAAAACTGGTCCTGAACTTAAACTGGCCATGACTTGGGAACATCTTTGCCTGGCATAGTGTTGAATAAAGCAGTGGTGGAAAGGGAGGTTTAAAAAAAAAAAAAAAAAAAAAAAAAAGCTCAGGAGCAGGAAACACTTCAACATGGAATGAAATGTTGGAATTGTATAAATTCTACAATCTAATGAAACCTCAACTGGAAGCCTTCTAACACTGGACTCTGTCTAATCTGTAATGCTGTCATCCCTAACTTTAAATCAGAAATCAAAGAGGCTACTCATTATGGCTCCATTCAGACCCCAAAGCTTTCTTTCCAGCTCCCTCACAGCCTGTGTGCATTTACTATTGGTCTCTACCAGCCTCGGAGCACTTTGAAAAGACCACCTGTCCCAATCAGGGCAGCATATATATTGTAGAGAGATACTAAGGTCTGAATGGAGAGCTCTGGATGTAGCTCAACCTAACCTACACCTGGCAAGGGTCAGCTTTCCAGCAGCAGGCCAGGCACAGAGCTGAGAAGCCTTACCTTGCTTCCACTGATAGTATGGAACTTTTTCTCCAGAACCTTTTTCACAGGGTCTTCTTCTTTAAAAGTAATAAAAACAAATCCCCGTCTTTTGTTCAACTTGGGATCCATTGGAAGCTCAATGGCTTCAATCTGTAAAAACATAAAAGTTCAGGTCCAAACCTCCCCTACCCCAGAGCACATAGGGAACTCATAAGATCCACTGAAGGCCAGAAGATGAAAAGGGCTCCAAAGAGCTAAGATTACCAGAAAACAGGAAGAAGGTAACCTCAAGACAGGTGGCAGGCCACTTACTCCACTCACCTCCCCAAACTCGCCAAAGTACTCCCTGATCTTTTCCTCTGTGGCTTCAGGATTCAGACCCCCCACAAAGATTTTCTTCACAGGGTCCTTCTTCATAGCCATGGCCTTCTTAGGGTCAATGACCCGGCCATCCAACCTGTGCTCCTTCTGGTCTAGGACCTGTTCCAAACAGAAAGAGGTCAGGCTCTAACTCAGCTACATAACCCTGGAGGCCCTTCTATGAGCCACAGGACTCCAGCACAAGTACACAAATGTGCTTCATCCCCTCCAAAACTCTATGCCAGCTGGACTCCCAAACCCAGTTTTCTCCAATCCTCCAGTACAGCTGATTCACCTAAATGCCTATAGATCAATCCTCAATCCTCTGAGCCTCTACCCATGCTGTGCACTCCTCTTCTGCACAAGTACTATCAGCTTAGGGCCCATCCCCTCCCAATAAAGCAGCAGTGATTAAGAGCACAAGATGAAGACAGGCTAGGTAGGGTAGGAATCCTCTTCTCTTCCACTTAATTCTCAGTGCTTTAGGATTTGGGGTGTTTTTCCCCTGTAAAAATGGGGATAAATGCCTATCTTCATAGCAATATTGGACTCTTTCTAATCCCCAAAGTTGTTTACCACCAGGCCCAGGAATAGGCACATAAAAAGGCAATAAACCTCAACTATAATCGTCTTGAACCACTCTAGCACACACACCCTGCTTATTCTGTATTATTCCCTCAAAAACAGGAATTTGTCCCTGACCTCTGCTTGTCCCAGAACACTCAACCCCTACAGCGCATACAAGCTAAACGTGCTGTAGAGCAGTGTCCTTAGATCTCTCATCCTAACGGACTGCTGATAGCATGCAGCTTACCTTCTCCACACTGGCAGCATCTTTGAAGAGGATAAACCCAAACCCTCTTGACCGTCCAGTGTTGGGATCCATTTTTATTGTACAGTCAACGACCTCTCCAAATTTAGTAAAATAGTCCTTTAAATCTTTTTTGCTGGTATCCCAGCTCAGACCACCAACGAACATTTTTCTGAAATGGCAGGATGAGACACATGGCAACAAGTCTTTAAGCAAGCCGAGATTTTAGCAAGGACTGGCCCTGGCTAGGTTGCACTGGAAGGATTACAAAGCCACCATCCTATAGACAAAGTCAGAGTCTGCAAGTGTGCTACCTTGGCAGAACGCTAAGCCTGGGCTGCCCTACAATCTCAACGCGACCTGAACGTGACCCCTGCAGCCAGGGGCAGGAGAGGGAACGGAAGCGACCACCTCGCCGTTCGTCTGCGCCCCAGCCACTCAACTGGTAACACGGGCGGACGACAAACACGAGTCTTAGCGCTCGCATCGCCCCTTCCCGTCTACACTTCCCAACAACTCGAGACCTCGAGGCTTCCGGGCCGAGACGACCGGGGTTCCGACCATGACTCCGCCCCCGGCAGGCGCAGGCGGGAGGCCCGGGCCCGCGCGCCAACTCCGCCCACGCAGCCCCGGCCCGGCCCTCGACCCGGCCGGCCCTGGTCCGAGCGCTTTCCTCCTTCCGGGCCGCCCGGCCAGTTCCCGGCCCGGCCGCGAGCGAGCGGCTCCAGGGCGGCGCCAAAGTCGACCCAACAAACTCCTGCAAACTCCGGGGTCGGCAAGCGAGCGAGCGAGCGGGGGCCGGTCCGCGGGCCGCCCGCCCCTCCCCCCGCCGCGTGGCGCCAACAAAAGGCGGCCCCGGAACAAAGGCGGCGCCCCCGTCCGCCCGCGGCCGCACCTACCCCGCGTCCTCCTCGTTCTTGCTGGCGTTGATCTGGTCGCCTTCAGCGCCGTTCTGATTCCCGCTCGGGGGCGCCGCGGTCCCGCCTCCAGACCCCGCCGCTGCCCCGGTGCCGGCCCCGGCCGGAGACTCGCCCTCGGGGGCGGCCTCGTGTCCGTTCTCGGTGGCGCCCGTCGTCTCCATGGGCTGCTCTTCACCCGCTTCCGACATGGTAGGCCAGGCCGCGGCGGCTCCTGCAACGAGCGGCCACAGGCGGCGACGGCGTGTCAGGCAGGCACGGATCTCGCCCGAGCTCCCGACCTCCCGCCCGCAGCGCGCGACCCGGCCGCTCACCTCGCCGCCGATGACGCCGCGGGGCCTGTTCGTCCCCACCCGCCGGGGAAGGTGCCGCGGGCTCAGCCGCGCTTAAACTCGCCCTACCGGGGCCTTTCCTCCGCCCGCCGACGGAACCGCTCCCTGAGCGTGCGCTCTTCGACCGTAGCCACACAAAACCCACCAGCCTACAGCCCACCCTCGGCCCGCGCGGTGCCACCGCCTGACAATGCCGACTCGTGGCGCTCTTTATAATGCCGGAGCCGGGGGCCACCGCGCAATAAGGCATGTGCTCATAGGCTGATCCTGACCGTCACTCAATCTTACGCTGGCACTCCATTGGTCGCGAGGGCACACGCGCGCTCTAGATCCGGGCGGGCTTTATCATCATTTTAGAACGCGCGCGCGAGTCAGTCTCTGCAGCGGGTTCCGGACGCTGTACGGGGTAGTGGATTGTACAGAACGGTCGGCAGCTTTCTCGGTGGCTAGCGGACTCCAGCCAGATCCTCTGCTCTGCAACTGCGGTGTCTTGCCCTCGTGTGCTACATTCAACATTGGCAACCTCGACCTCTCCATTTGCAAAAGAGGAAACTGGGCGGGAGGAAATCTCTAAGCCCAAGGTCGCCCGGAAGAAGTACAGACCCAGGCTTCCGAGATAGTGTTTGTTGGGTCCTCCAAGGTCCTTAGCGCTACTTGGGGTGATTAAGACGGAACCCTCCTTACCCCTTGACCTCTGGGCCCCTCAGTGATGGGGTAATCACTGATTCCTTTTAAAATCAATCATCTGAGTGGCGGGCCCCAAAAGGACCAGGATTACAACCTCCCAAGCTTGGAAATTATCAAATTAGCATCCTGAACACAAGTAACTGACTTTTCCCACTGGATTCCTAAAGCTAGGCCCCATGTAAGGAGCTGGGCTTTCTTACTCTTCCATCTGGTCCCCCAATAGCCCTATGGAAGAGATATCAGCAGCACTTTATAAATAAGAAAAGTGGGGCCACAGGTGTGACTCAAGTGGTAGAGCATCTGCCTAGTAAGAACAAAGCCTAGTATAGCCAAAAAATAAGTTAATAAAAAAAATTAATGAATGAGAACATGAAGCCCAGATCAGTAGAGTAGCATAAGGCTACAAAACAGACAGCAATTCCAATCCAGTCAGTGGAGTTGCCTGAGGATGAAAAGTGATCATTTCACATTTTGAAGAACACTTCAAGCTTTTCTTAGAAAAATCTGAAATTTTAGCCATAATGTACCTCATGCCCCACTCCCACCCCCAGATGAAAAAGTGTGTTCTGGTTACCCGAAGGTCCACTTAAGCTCTTCACTCTTTCAGGCTAGATTCTACAACTGTAGTTCACACATCTCCGCACACATCACTGAACTCCAGCAGTAAGGTTCTGTGTTATTACCTAACAGGAATAACTTAGGAGAAGAAAGATTTTGTTTACAGAATCAGGCATTTCGGTCCATGAAGGCAGAGAGGGCATGTCAGAGCATCTTACATCTTGGAAGACAGGATGTAAAGTAGAGCAGTTCCAGATACAGCCCCAAGAATACCCATAATGACCCATTTCCTTCCAACCAGGCCCCACCTTGCACAGTTCCACCACCTCCCAATAGTCCATTCAAAGTCTGAACCATCACTGGATTAAACCATTATTAGGTAAGAGCCCATATGATCTAACCTCTGGAAAAGGCCTTACAGATGCACCCACAGGTGAGCCTTACTAATCTTCTAGGTCTTTCTTAATTTAACTGACAAGATTTGCCATCACAATCTTTCTGGAAAGTCTCTAACAAACCCCCTCCCTTTTACCCCAGTCCTCGCAACTAATAGTAATGAGAGCCAGAAGGTCAGAGTGTGGAGGTACAGACCTGTAATTCCAGCCACTCGGGAGGCAGAGATAGGAGGATATGGTCCATGGCTGGCCCATCAAAAGCATGAGAGCCTATTTGAAAAATAATTAAAGCAAAAAAGGGCTGGGGGCATGGCTCAAGCATGACCTCATGGCCTGAGTTCAAACCCCAACACCTCCCTCCTCCCCAAAAAAAGAAATGAGGGCCAGGCATATGGCCACAAGAGATGATAAGCACAGCTGCCCAAGCAATGAAGACAATCCAGGAAGTTAAGTTCATAGTCAAATAGTGCAATCTAGGTGCCAGTGACTCATGCCTGTAATCCTAGCTACTTGAGA